TAAGTGAGTAAAACCAGAGAGCCTTCCCCAGGTCTGATATGATTGGATTACAATTTATAAGGTCTGATATGATTGGTCAAGGTTTGGGTTACGTTACATTAGTGAATCTCTGCTAGCACAGCAGAGGCAGTGCTGCATTAGAGCAGCAGCAGCGCCTCCACCTGGTAGCCACAAATTAATTATCCCATTACCATGTCCTACTAAGTCATGGTCATGACTTTGCTAACTCATTCCCCCACCTTACTGAGTCATGGCCACAACTTAACTATCACAACTTAATTATCTCATTCCACTATCTTACTAAGTCATGGTCATGACTTAGCTAACTCATTCCCACACCTCACTATATCGGAGCCACAACTTAATTATCTTATTTCCACACCTTACTTAATTGTGGCAACAACTTGTTTTCACAACTCACTGGTCACAACATATATACCATAACTTAATTATCTAATTCCTATGACTTACTAAATTGTGGCCACGACATAATTAACTCGTTCCCACGGCTTACTAAGTCAGGGCCACAACTTAATTATCTCAACTTAGTTTTCTCTTTCCCATATGTTATTAAGTTGGGGCCATAATTTACAAAACACATTCCTCACCTTACTAAGTTGTGGCCATGACTTATCTATCACAACGTATCTCATTCCCATGTCTTAATAAGTTGTGGTCATACATTGGGATCACGTTCCCACACTTTAGTAAGTGGCCGTGTATTATTTTATTAAGATGGGATGTCACCAGAGAGGCCCCATAGAAAACAATAATAACAGTCTCACTGAAACTGACTACCAGCTCCAATAAATGTCTAGAACTGCCACATAGCCAACATATACTTTATTCATTTCATATAAAAACAAACAAAAAAATCAGAACAAGCAGACAACAGGTGCATATTTGAACAATGTTTTCACAGGAAATCAAGATGATCCATTTAATCCTCAAAGAAAAGAAGGAAAACAAAAAAAGCACATTTCCCACTTTGAACCATACACTTATCCTTCATGTTGCCTGATACTGAGCCACTGATGGTGACTTGATCTTCCACCCACATTCAAACTCTACTCCCAATGTTCAACCTCTACAGCACGGTCATAATAGAATGTGATGGTCATAATAGTGTCATAATTTCATATGTAGTCATATTACATTGACATTGTGTGGTCATAGTGTATAGATGTCCGTGATGCTACACTATAAGCTACAGTATGATTATTTGTCAAAATGGTCAGTATATGGCACATATTCAGGTCACACACCTACTTGCTCATAATGTCATGTCAAACAGTAATAAAATACTAATGTGTTACCACTCTGGTCACATTACCTGGTCAAACCTGGAGGGTAATAACAGCTGCAATGTTCTGTGATCACATGAGTTTCAAAGGCATTTCAAAATACTCAAATATTCTGTGGACCGAGTCTCTATAAAAGATGCACATCGACACTTGCCTGCGTGGCTACAGTTTCACTGAAATGGCCCTTTTTGAAGGTGTACTGACCACAGCATTAGCTGCGTCCTTTCATCACCTTTCTGCATATTCCTGACTGGCTATTCTGTTGTACAACACAAGCACACATAGTTGAAATTCCCAGCATGTGCAATTACTGTGATAAACCACAGGCATGAGCCCGCTTACTGTAAAAGCAGTGGTCCTCAAGTCTGGTCCTGGAGTACCACTGCCCTGCATAGGTTAGTATTTCCCCTACTCTAACACACCCACACTGCATCCCAATTATATTCTAACTTCTAATTCTTACTGGTTTTTGAGTATGTAGTATACAGTATGTTCACAAGTGCCAAAGTTGAGTATATAAAGAACCCAACATTGCATACTTGATATATATGCAGTGCAGATTTTTTCAACAGACTGCTGACAGTAGTAACATGCGTATCAGCCAATCACCAGTGTAGATTTTGGAACAAGCATGTTCATTGGCTCACGGGTGCTGATAAGACTGACAACTTAGGTACTGAAGTGAAAAAAAGTACTTATCCTCTACGAAAAAACTTCTGCACATTTTACTGAACAATTACTGTTTATTTACTGAATTTAGCATATTGAAAAAACATAAAATGTGTCTTGTGCAAAAACTACGGCACATATATTTTTACCAATATGTAAAAATCAGCAAATGAATAGAAACTGTGTGAAAGTGAATTCAAACGTATTTACAATGGCTTAATTCATATTGTATGTCTGTGGCTGAAAACTACTTCAACTGCTATGATTTGTTCAAGCCTGTATTGCAAGAAATTTTGAGTAATGAAAAACCTACAGCTCTGCATTCCCTGTGGACATGTTAAAATGACTGCAAGACCCAATTTGGACAGCGCCAGTGGGGATGTTGGACACTACTGTCTCACATTGTGATGCAAAGCAGCAAGGTAAACGTTATAGATGGCTCGAAAATTAGGGAATCATGGCAGTTATGGGGTTGAGCACTACCCAGCTAACATGATCAAGGTGGAACTTAAGGTTAGTAAATTAAGCAGCGCTCTTCTACAGGAATGTTAGTATAAAGCAAAAAATGAAGCTTAAAGCTTTACTATGTAAGTTTTGTGGATTTGGAGACCTCTCTGGTGGAAATCTGTAATTGCAGACAATGCAAGAACATTTTGTAACATTGTGCTTCGGCCCCATTTCCCCATAAACATCAAGCCAGACCTTCTTTTTGACCCTGTGTGTGAAGACATATGATGTGGGCTGAAAACTCATGCACACCATATTTTAGAGTTTTTTTTTTACCTGACTCAGTAATGCTACTTACTTACAAAGTGCAGTGTACATGGTCACATCTTGTTGTGACGTAACCTATACTAGCATAGCAACATCACTTCCCATTAGGACAAATTGGGGCAGCATGTTAACATTCTGTATACTAACCTGCCAAAATCTTATGCCATCACACTAAAGATTAGCATGCAAAATAAACGTTATAGTAGGGGTCCCCAATCCCGCTCCTGGAGATCTACCATCCTACAGTGTTTAGCTTCAACCTCTGAACTTGCCAGGACAGGACTGGGCACCCCTGCCTTATAGTATTGGTGTATATTATTCAACTGGAACCCAGTACTAGTTCAACTCAGGAAAGGTTTTTTTTTTAAGAAGCTGTGCCGGGAAAACACTACAATGTGCAGGGGGTGGAATTCCAGGGCTGCATTCAAAATCACACGCTATTGGAGAACTAGTGCAGTATATAGTGTGTCAGCCATGCTGCAATGTTTGAAATCTCAACAATCAGTCTTTTGGCTGTTCTCCAGTCAGCTCACTATTTCAAACGCTACGAAGTGAATAGTGAATGAGTTAATGAGTGTACAACTCAACACAACGCCAGTCTAACACTGCTGTAAAGACAAAGAACTTCCACTAGAGGGCGCTTCAGCGACTGCTTCTTTCCCTCAGTAATCTACTCACACCCTCTAACTCTTGTCCACCTAAAACCTCTCTCATTCCTTCCTCTCCACTAGGACACTTCCTTTCTCTCCTTCTTTCTCTCCTCACGAGCTGTGATTGGTTCCAGACCTGTTCCGCTCGCTGACTCGACATTCCACAGCTGGCCGTGGCAAAGTTTCAACCTCATGCTCTCGCCAAGAAGGGGGAAAAAATGAAAAGAAAAGAAAAAAAAACTAACACCACACAATCTAAACCCCTAAAGAATTCTGGAAAGAAAGATGAGGAAAAAAAAGGGAATAGGAATGGAGTAAGAGAGATAACAAATGAATGAATACGCTGCTGTTAGATGTCCACAAATGTAAGAAAAGATCAGCAAGCTAGAGGTTTGAGTTACTCACATTCACAAAGAGGAATGCTAAAGCAAAGTCATCTCAGCAAGAGTACAGCTTTAACCCACTCATGTCCTACTACATTTAGTATGATCAGGAAAACTGCCACAGAACTCGGTATTAACTGAAATTGTTGTAGAGCTATACCTTTGAAGTACATCTAATAGGATGCATTACATATTATTTTCATACTCAAATTCAAATTTGGATTTTCTACTGTTTTGTTTAAAAACCAGGGGTCCCACGTGGCTGAAAGACTGAATGTGATAAGTCATGCAAACTCACTTTTCAGCCATATGGTTTGATCACTTTTAAAATGTTCTCCACATTTGTGGTCAGGCAAGCTCGGAGAACATATAGATCAAAATAAATGTGATAAAATTTCAGAAGCGGACATCAGTGGGTTAAGGCAAAATGGCCAGAGTGAAAAGCATTTGAAATCACTCATTCTTTAAATCACTCCAGCTCGTTTCTGTCCCACTGCGTCTTTCTTTTCGTCGTATTTCTGCATTGTTAAACATATCACATGCTATCATTTCCTTTCCTCTATAATCACTATGATTATCGCATACAGACAGCGCACGATTCAGCTGGAGATACTGCCTACAAAGAGAGAGACAAAGATAGAGAGTGCAAAGAGGTGAGGTGAGAGAAAAGATGCATGAAGGGGGGAGGAAAAAGGAAAAAGAAAACACTCCACAGGCAGACGATACGTGGACTCTGACCTAAAAACCAAAGAATTCATTCCACTTCAGTTGTAAAATGAATGAGAAAAAGAACCGCCACCCACCCCATTCCCCGGAGTCACAGTCTGACAAAAATACTGCTGTGGTATAATACTTTGGTTCGGATTATGCATTTGCTTGTGTTTCAACCTCCGTCGTTTGGAAGTTTCGAGTTCATTTTTTTTTGGTTTGTTTCATTTCAGCGATACAGAAAATCTAAAGTACCTAAGGCAGGGTAACACTGGAGTGAAAGTACGGTTATAAACAGCATTTCCATAAAGAGTTACAGTGGAGAAAAAAATACACTTCGGTATGTGCGTATCAGCCAATCTTAGCTGACCTTCTAAATTGGTGGAATCTGATTGGTTGACGATCTCGATGTGTTGGAATGACGCAACAGTAAGAAATGGGGTGGAGTTTCACCTCTGTTCACTTTTGATTGGCATCTGCTGCGCTCCACACAGCTTTCAGAATGTCTCCACAAAATCAAAAACAAAAATAAAAATTGAATTCAGTTCAATTAGTCATTGAATGTGCAGGCTAGTTTTCATTCTTAATAATCACTCGTCCTCCATTATTCCCCTTGCTCGTTTAGCTCCATATCTGACACCAGGATGTTTTTCTCTGCCTCCTCAGAGGGGGTGGAATTAGTGCGGCTGTACCGAGCACCCTCGTACGACCCAGAGGAGCCAGAGCTTCTCCTCCGGTAGAGATAAACTCCGCCCACCACGAGGGCAATCAGGACCAGCACAGCGAGAAGGATGAACACCAAAGCAGGAAGATGATCCACGTCAGCTATGAACACACAGAGAGAGAGAACCATCCAGATTGTGAGTCAAATTTATTGTATTTATTGACTAACATCATTCCAAACACATGCATTTCAAGAGCTGTTGCAAATTAAAGCAACAATTTAGCAAAAAATCTGACCAAAAGTTTGTCTCTTTAGTTTTCTTTCACATTGTTCTAACTGCAGGCCTAATTTATAACATCTGATTCAAATCGCCTCAAATAGTGAGTCATCTCAAATAGACTTATTTAGTTTCTGACAATGTATGACACACTGTTATTTATAAAAATGGACAAAAGTACAAAAGTACAGACAAAATTAAGAACTCAAGGCTGCTACTATTGACTTTAGCAACCTACTTTTGTTCAAATGTGATTTTTGGCTAAATTATTCCTTTAAAAGCTTCTTTCATGATTAGTATATGATTAGTATCACATTGTAGAGTTAAGCAGAGACAGCACTTACCTGCTACACCTGAAGAATCCAGTCCTATAAGAATAAAGAGTTGAAAATGAAATTTTTTTAAAAGATGATAAAAAAGCAGCTAAGAAACATAATAAAACATGATGCGTGATTCTGTACCTCTTGCTCATTTGCATATTTAGACATAATTGTGTGTGTAAATGTCTTGTGAGTAGGGATGCAATTGTGGGCTGATGCCAATATCTGATATTTATCATGTGCATATCTGCAGATACCCACATGGATACATTTATAATATACTGATATCGGGACTACAGCTACAACATTACAGCATTACAGACAAAATGTCACATTTTGGCTCTGTCCATTTTTATAATCTACATTCTTTGATCCCAGCAGCTGCTCAAATTTACATTGTGCGACAAAAATCATGATGAATGGACCAACAGAAATGCTCCAAAGTTGCCTGAAATAAAATCTCTTTACATGAACTTAATTTAAGGTAAAGAATGTTTTTGCTTTCTCCAGTGAAGCTGTTATTTTGAAGATACGTGTTTTTTGAATTGTACAGCGACGATTATTTTGGTGGGGTTACAAATACATGAATGAATAAAATGCAGATATTTTAGATGCCCTTCTCTTCCAGAATACAATAAATCATAAAATATCGATTTGCAATATCTCTCTGGTGCTGATAAATGGTTTAAGCAATTATCTGCTGACGCTGATATAATATTATCGTGCAGATTTGTGTCCCACCTCGTGGCCGTTTGCAGATGACTCCGTGAGTGCGATTCTTGCAGGATCCAGGTCTCCAGAACCCCGTGTTGCTCTGCACCCAGAAGCAGCTGTTAGCAGAGAGCATGCTCAGATTAGCGTCCTGCTGCTCCCAGTTGGTGTACTCCACCACCGAACTGTCCTGCCACTGCAGACCGCCTCCTGCACACAAACACACACACATAGAGAGAGTTGTGCTCAAAGTTAAAGAAAGAATAAAAAGCCCTGGATCAGTCAAGATGAATGAGGCTGCTCTTACCTCTGGGGTTAAAGGTCATGCCGAGCCACGCGCCATTTGCCTGCTCTTGATAGCCCTGAATGTGCTCCCATACGAAACCATTCTCATTCTCATCCAGCACTGACAACAGCTCCGCTCCCACTGAGAGAGAGAGAGAGAGAGGTAAAGTGAGAGGTATCACAACTGTAACGCGCCAAGCAGATTCAGACGCTCGCAGACGTAAAACTCCAAGGAGGCTTTACTGATAGAATCACAATCCAAAGTCGTCGTCACAAAACAATCATGGGTGAATTCCAGAAAGCACAAAAGAAGCAAACACTCAATCATAACACCAGGTGGAATGTCCAAAAAGGGAGAGGCAAAAACGTAGTCAGGAATACAGGCAAAAGGTCATAAGTCAGAGATCGTACACAATGGCAAATAATCCGAAGGGCAGAGCAAAAAGGGCAAAGTCGAGAAACGAAAGGCAATAAAAAGGTCATACACGAAAAAACATACAATGGAATGAATGCTTAGTAGATCATGCAGTGGATACAATACCTCACAAAGTCCCTATGCTAAAGCCCGGGCTATAAACTAAATTCAGAATTCAGGTGAACGAGAGCGCTGATAGGAGCGCGAAGTCACGTGAGGAGTCAGGTGATCTCCCATAGAATTCTGGGATGTTGAGTCCAGGTTAGTGTCGGCATTGGTTGGCTGTGTGGAGGTCATGTGATCTCCCAGAGGATTCTGGGAGATTGAGTCCGAATCCAACGAGATACTCGGAGGATGCGTGACAACAACAAAAGCAAAAAAACTGTAGCCTGTACAGTGTATACATTAGCCTGCAAGATATTATTAGCGAAGGCCATTTTAACAATTTTAAACATATGGTGCCGGTTTCCTAGATCAACATTACGGATTAAAATTTAGACCAAAACCTGGCCTAAAGCCTGGAAAACTGGCGCAAAGTATTCAAATATCCGAACATGTGATTAACTGGAAATCATGGAGGGTTCACCATTAATTCATTACGTGCAACTAACATAAGAGATGATGCATATCTGATCATTCAGTTGGCTTATTGATTTGTGTTTTAGGTGTGTATGATTGGACATGCTATCAGCTGACCTACAGAATGTTAACTCAGCAAGAAAGAGAACTCTCATGATTATACGCTGCACAAATGTCATAAATAAATATGTCACTATATATATATATATATATATATATATATGCCCTTATTCGAACACCTCAATAAGCAAACACAGACTAGGATGAGTTTAGATATCCATATGTTCAAAAAACAACACCCATTTGTACCTTTAGCCAATTGCGTGTGTGTGTGTGTGTGTGTGTATGTGTATGTGTGTGTGTGTGAGTGTTACCTTTTTTGCAGGTGTGCACGGCATCATGCTGTAGCCGTAGCTGGTTCAGGTTAAAAGCATAACAGTAGTTTCTAAAAGGAATCCAGGGCCAGTCACCCAGCTTCTGAAGGCAATGTCCCGGATACCTCCACCTGTGAGCAATGTCGTGCTCTGAGAACAGAAACATGCAACACACACATAAAACAGATTCTCAGAGGTAAAGTATTTAAACTCATTTCATTTTGATGTGTTTCCCTGTGCTTAAAAAACAAGTACTGGGACAGAATTGTTCACAGTGGTGATGACAGGAACCAGATGTCTGAGAGTTTAAAGCCTCTAAAAGCTTGGGTTTATCACCAAGATTGATTTATGCAGAAATGTTTAAAAATCTGTGGAATTCCCCTTTAAGAACTGAAGCAAATCAAAAATATTTTTATTCAAATTGTATATCAATTTAATCAAAGTCACTGAATAATTCAGTGTAGTTACTGAATAATTTATAATGGTACCTGAATAATTCAAAGTAGTCATTGAATAATTTGTAGGTATGTAATAATAAATCCTAAAACAAACTGCAGAACAATAACCCTGCAGTTTAAGGGGTTAAATTTCTGCATCAGCCTTACAAAAACACTCTCTCACTCACACACACACACACACACACACACACACACACACACACACACACACACACACACACACACCCTACCTGTATTAATTTCACAGATGGCTGCGTCTAATTTAGCATCACAAGCAGACACAGTCCATTGGCCCCTGGGAGTCATGTGACCACAGCCAAACACCTGATTGGGCTCTCCATCCTGCCAGTCACTGAAGATGACATCCTCTTCACCCAGCCATCTGTAGCTCCGACCCTAACAAAACAGAGGTGTCATTTATATATGTTTGAGAAGACATTTAAATTTTCACTGGGAACTCATAAACTGAACAGCACCGCCTCACCCCGTCGTTATGCAGGGCGATCCAGGCAGGTTTGCGGAGCGTACTGAGCAGGAGTGTGAGGTATGCGTGCTGCCGCGGGTCTCTTATTGCAGCCAGACTGCCATTAACAGACTCACACACCTGCAGAGCCCCCTTCCAGTCCAGTCGCTTCTGTAACAAACGATACTGAACCCCTTGAAACTCCAATGGCCCATCTACCGCAGGGGGGAGTGGGTCCACACCAGGGGGTATAGCACGGTCTGAACACACATACAAATACATTCTTTTTATACAATGTCAGGATATGCGGTCATACTTATGTCCCATACATACATATACTCAAATAGCATTTCTGTGCATCATTAAAAGAGATGAAACTGACACATGAACCCACACCAGCAGGATTTTGCATTTGGTTGTAGTCACAGATTTCAAAACAGGAGGCAAAACAGTTTTTCTTTACTGCTAGGACTTGCAACTCTTGGATTTAAGTATTTGGATTTGTAATTGAACTACCTGATGGACTACAATTACCATAAACACTAGAACTTAGCCTGAGCTAAGCAGTATATAAAAGCAGTAGGACAAAATATTTGAATAGAGTGCTGAGAATGAACTACTACCCAAATAATATCTGCTCTGTGGTGGGTCCTGACCATTGAAGAACAAGGAGAAAGGGGGCTAACAAAGAGAATGCAGAGAAACAGATGGACTACAGTCTGTAATTGTAGAACTACCTGTGCACCTATATGGTCAGTGAAGCTGATAAATAGTAGTAAATAATGGAGTGGACTTTGTGTGTGGCCAGTTGTTGTGTGTGTGTGTGTATATATATATATATATATATATATATATATATATATATATATATATATATATATATATATATATATCAAGATTATTTATATATGATAAAATGTATACACACCCTTAGTCCTGCTTAGTTTGTCAGAACACTTTGTGCTAAAAATGTATGAAAACAGCCACACTCATCCACAAAGGTTTGGTTTTTAATTTTGAAATCTAAAGAATTCAAACATCTAATATCCCAAAACAACTAGAATATAATAATAGAACAATATATTCCTATTTTTTTCATTAAACCCAAACTGTACGCTCTGCATACCTAGCACCAGAACAGAAGAAAAGCCAGGCATTTAAATCCTTCATGTAAGTATGAAAACCCTGCAACACAGCATGGACTTCCATGTAGCTGTGATACCAAACTGACAGAATGAGGTAGTGGCTACAGAGGAATGTTGTTTTACTGACCTAGTTATGCTGTTCTACAATAATTTGACTTTGCTGCTTAATAAGGAGAACATACCAGTACCTATGTCATTCCCTAATTGAACATGTACGTATATGATTATGACTTCGCTGTGAGCGAGTTACCTTTGTTCTTCATGCAGATGTAGCCATGTTTCTCTCCTTCACAGCTTCGAGATGACCACATCCCTGTGGTTCTGTGAGGACTACTGTGCAGAAGCACCACACAGTTACGCTAGTAAAACACACAAATACACACACAAACAAAAAAGAATATAAAGAGAGACATCAAAAAAAAAGACACTGATAATAAGCCTGCACAATATCAACAAACTATGAATATTGCAATTATACTGCTATATATGATATTCACGATATGCCTATGTCACAATGTAACAGTTAAAGGCTGGACTACATTGCTTTGATACATAGATTCATCAAAACACCCATAAAAACACTCAAACACATGAACTGTGAATGGACAAGACGCTCACAGAACATTGCATAAATAAACTGACTGGTTGGATGGCTCATTTGCATATTGCAGATTTCTTATTTGCATATTGCACATTTCTTAAGGCCAATATGGCAAAAATGATACTAACTAAATATTTATGTGACAGAATAAAAAACAGGCAAATAAGAATTACAGAAGAACAGATCATCAAGAAAGTAAAGATTAAAACTGGTAGAAAGCAACTGAGGTTGGATGGATAGATGGATGGATGGATAGTTATGAGAAGTAAGAGGAAGAACTACTGGTTAGATGGTTTAATTAGGGAGTTTTAGAACACTTTTCTAGTACCGAGTTTTTGTTGTGTCCACTCTTGTCCACAGGCTCCCCAGGAGCCCAGTTTGTGTAGCTAAGCAACCCAGGCTCTGCCCACTTGAACTGTCCTTGAGAATCTGAGGTAAGCCCCACCCACAGATGGAAACTGGTGTTGGGCAGCAGAGTCACCAGGAAGGCTAAGGCAGACAAAGGTGTGGAAGAGTGCGAATAGAGAAAAAAAATATGTTAAACAAAAGAAATTTGTCTGTCACACAGTTCGCTGAAGGATTATCTTTATTGCCAACTGCTATCCTGTTGTTTTGGGGTTCCACAAGGGTGGGCTCTAGGCCACATTCAGATTATTAAAACCATGCTCTTCGCCTTGGCTCGCATTAAAGAGAAGGCAGCTTGAGTTCATTTTGTGTAAGATTCAAGCATGCTTCTTTGTAAACCCAAACTACATGATCAGCACATTAGGCATGCCTTGGACCACAGAGGAGAAACCAGACATTTAAGGCCTTCATAAGTATTTAAAACCCTGCAACACAATATATGAATTTCCATGTAGCTGTGATACCACACTGACAGAATGAAGTAGTGGCTACAGAGGAATGACAGACACCAGTGTTTCACTGGCCACAATACTGCATAACGTTACTTTAACCCTTAAGGTCTCCATACATTTCTTGTAGAGATGATATTTACCAGGCTTAGGCCAACAATATGACGTTAGGGCGGAGAAAGCTAACAACCGCAGACGCTGTGCATAGGCACATGGCAGCTGGGGGAACTCCACGGCCAAACACACTATGTGGCAACGCCTGTGATTGGACGGTGTTTTGGCCCAGCTAAAATAAAACCTTAGAAAGTATGCACGATTATAAGCTTGTGATGGTGGTTTTGGTGTCGCACAAGCCTCACAAGCTACATTTTTCTGGAAGTACACTGAGGCCATTAGAAGTCACAGTTAGTACAACATCAAAAGCATATTGTAATCATATATTAATTGCTGTCATTTGTAGCTCACTGAAACAAGAAGAGAAGTATCTCTGAATGTGTGAATTTTAAACCTTCAATTCCCACCACTACCTCTACTTTATAACCCTTAACTACATGCTTTATAACTACTTTATAACCTTATCTTTGTTTCCAACACTGAAGGTGCCTCAAGTTGGCTTTCCAATGCCACTCTTGTTCTCACAGGTGGCCGCATATGCTGTCCAGATTTGACCAGAGAATATAAAAAAATCCACTGTATATGTATCGTCGTTTTGTTACATACATTTATAAGTTTCTCTTCCATATTTGTGTAATACTGTAGGGAATAAGAACGAAATGCAAAGAATGAAAGGAAGAAAAAGTTCAGAGAGGTAGGGCTGGGGACTTTGGAACCCCGCTTCTACGATTAGTCCAAGAAATTTCTTTAAGACAATCATTTAATTTAGACTGTTGCTCCATCTCATCGTAATTCATTCGCATAAAACTGAGATAATTTTAGCTCAATTTATCACGTCATTTTGCTGCTGTGTTGCTTGTTACTAGGTCGTGGCTACACATCACCTGCTCCCTTAGGAAATGACTTAAAATAATTTTATTTTGCTTGACATTTTCAATACAAAAGAGACATTCATTTATTTGCATGTTTGTGTGTGTCTGTACCTTGTTCAATGTGACTGGGCACTGTAGTTAGTTTTGCCTCTTGAGACTGGCACATCATGTTGGCGGCAGACCAAGTGACACGCCTCAATTCCTCTTGCCCAAACAACTTGTAACACTAGCAGAGAGGGGAGGGGTCAAAATACAGAATATAAACACAAATAGACAAATTTAATTGTTCTATAATGTTTAGGCTAATCATTACAGAAAGTATTCAGCGTTCACGTTCAATAAAGCACCACTGAGGATGATGTTCTACAGAAGTACTACTGAGTAGAAAGTTATGTCTTTACTTTGTGAAGGAACGGACTCCAGCCATCAGGACAGCCTGCTGGGATGAGGGGCGGAGTCGGGGTGGGTGGGGGCGTGCCCGTGACATTTACTCTTTTACAAACATATGGCAAATCTATATGACACTTCTGTTCCGCCCATTCACCTGAGAGGGAGAGAAACTGAGAGTAAGTTTTACTGAATTTTAGCTGTTATGCTACCAAAAATATTTGTGATATTAGATATTATATACTAACATACACTGGAATGGCTTTTACTGTTCGATTAGTAACACTTTATGACATTATCTTCTTTTGGGAACTGGACTTTGACCAAATAGTGAAAGCAAAATGCATTTCTTTTTTACTCCTGTATCGAAAATGTATTGTGTCATGGTAAAAAAAACATGATACATATTGTCTTACGACATGTACTGCATTAGATGTCACGCCTCTAGTGTATGTAAAAGAGAGACACAATGCACACTGCCGAACCTTTAGACCCAGATATGTAGACACACTTGGAGTCTCTAGTGAGGGGGCGAGGTTGCCCAGGTCCCCAGGACACATAGTTGAGCACAGAGTGATCAGACCACCTGTATCGGCCATCGTTCTCAAATGTGTGCAGTCCAATCCAATAAGGATCACTGTCCATTCTTGACACCTGGAGACATACATACACAGAAACACACTTTTCTGAAATAGAAGGTAGAAGTGGGTTGTTCGCTTCACAAGATATCTTTATAACATTTCACACTGTAGGATGTTTATGCTTATCAGAGTATATTGATATGTGTGGATATCTTTAAAGCAATAGTTGAGGGAAAAAAAATCAAATTTACACAATTTTCCATTTACTTCAAATGTAGTCACTCACCCAAACTGTGCCCTGCTTCTTTAATTTTGCACTGGAGCAACAAGGCTAATGTAGCGAAGACGTGATGGACGCTTATAGCCACTTGTTAGCATGGTGCAAGCTGCATGCCTAAATCATCACATACTTTCCTTAAACCATGACAAGTAATGTTGAATAGACCCGCTTAAGTGCTTTCTGACACTGTATGACATACTGTTATCTATAAAAATGGAAAAAAAAATGTATGTCACACAGCAGCCATTCTGAAGCCTGGACTCTGTCTGTACGTTTGTCTGGTTTTATAGATAACAGTATGTCATACAGTTTGAGGCAAATACACTCATCGTCAAAAAAAGTTGCACCCAGAAGGAAGTGTCGGATTGCAGTGCTATTCAGAATAAAGACAAAGGTTACCAGACTGATATGGGCAATATTTATTAAGCTACACATACAGAAGTATTGTCTCTCAGTATGGCGTCGGGCCACCATGTTTGCTAACGAAACATGCCAGACGTCTCGGCATGGAGTTGTAGATGTTCCTAATGGATAATCCATCCCATGCAGCTTGAATATTCTCACACAGTTCCTGCAGATTTTGTGGTAGGGGTGGAGTGTTAGTAGCATGTCCAATAGCATCCCACACATTTTCAATCGGGGACAGAACTGGCGATGCGGCTGGCCATGGCACAGTATCTGTGTCTTCAAGGCAAGCTCTTGAGACGGCAGCAGTATGCGTACGAGCGTTGTCCTGCTGGAATAGTGCACCGGAGTATGAGTTCAGAAAAGGTAGAGCCATTGATTGCAGAACCTCTTTAATGTAACGGTGGGCTGTCAAAGTGCCTGTAATGAAGTCCAAAGGCGATCTTGCATCGTATGAAATTGCAACCCACACCATGACATCAGGCCTTCTGGACGCGTGACGCCTGACAACAAACCGTTCATCTTGACGCTGACCACGGTGCCTCCTCACACAGATTCGTTGGTCATCTCCACCAAGACAAAAATGGGACTCGTCACTGAAGATGACCCGCTGCCATTCTGAGTCACTCTATGACATTCTGGCACAACGCCATTGCAGTCTTTGGCGACATTGATGTGGTGTTAAGGGCAGTTGTCTAAACAGTCTGCGTGCATGTAGTCCTGCGCCGTGCAGCCGTCTGCCAATAGGGCTGGCACTAACAGGATGACTCATGTGACCCCTCTAGAACTCTTCCGACTGCTCGAATTGCTTTCGAACTCTTCTCCGAGGCATACTTTGTTTGGAAAGGATGCTACCAACATAAAAGCACGAGTCAGAATTGAAAGCACGTGCAACGGGACGACCTTATATAGTCAGTCAGGTACAGCGACAAGGCCCATCCTTGCTTATGTCATTTGTGCGGTCAAGCGTGAAACTTGAATCATTTGCACATCTTACGATGTCAAACCTACCCACAAAGTTTCATTCCTTTTGGTTGATTCCTTTTGGGTGCAACTATTTTTTATAGATAAGTGTATGTGATGATTAGGCAGGTAGTTTTAAGAATGCATGCTAAACACTATCAGCAGAGATTTGCTCTTAAAAAATATATGGAGATTAGAAAGGTGTTTAGATTTGACCGATGTTTCAAACTGATATTTGATATGTTTATTGTACTCTGGAACAGCAGACTGTTTTGGGTACGCTGGACTCTTGTATGAAAATGTTTGCATTTTATACAAATACCCATAATGATCCATAAATCCATAATGAGAATTTAGGTTGATCTACTCCAAATTTGTCCAAATTTATCTGCATCAGTATCAGAATCGACAGATACGTGTGTGAAAAATATCAGACATCAGCACTGGCCCACATTTCTCATATGCGTGTATCCCTAGTTTGTATGATACTAATTCCTACAGTTTAAGCTTCTATTACTTGTTACTGTACCAGCCTCATAGCTGCAGTGCAAAATCAAAGAAGTAAACTTTAGACACGGAACATGTTGCTGAATGACTACATTTGGAGGAATGGAGGAAATTGTAAAAATGTTTTTTTTACAAAACTTAACCTTTAAATGACTGACGCAAAAATCTGTGTGTACCTTGTGCACGATGCTTGCCACAAACTGTCTCTCTTCGATAGAGTGTATGGAGGCGAGGGAGGCGGAAAACCAGGAGCAAATCCTCCGGGCCTGTTTCCATGTGGAACGATGCGGAAACAGCTTGTACTGGGCCTCTTCGAAATTCACCCACTCAAGACCAGAGTCTACACACCAGGGTACAGACACATGGACACAAAACATATTCCATATATTTACCATAAAGTTTTACTGAGCTTGTTTAATTTTTGGTGAAACACAAATAAGAACGTCACCATCTTGAGTAATTTACAGATTTTTACCTATTTTTTTCCCCAGTCTAGCCATGGCCAAATGCATTCGCTAGCTAGGTTTCCCCTTGTCACACAGTGCTACCAAGATGGGAGGATGAGGGCTAGCACATGCTTCCTCCGAGACAAAGCAAGCCACTGCATATTTTGGACCCATTGCTATTTTAGTGTCAAACATCATTGGGTAGCTCAACATGCTTGAAGGAGAGCGCTAACTGGCAATTCTGTCATGTCACCTAGTAGACGCCCACAATGGCTAGCATCGTGCTAAATGATGGGGGAGAGGCAGGGCCATCTACTTATGCAATCTCGGACTCCCGACCACAAATGGCTGTGGCATCGCCAGGGATTGAACACACAATCTTCAGTTTCCCAATTATTTTGATGATTAATTAAGTAATCAGAGCTTTTAAAAAAGGCAGATATTAAAAGTGAAACAATAAGCATCCACACACAGCCTCTGAGATTCCAAAATACAAGACAGCTTTTAAAGACTTCATTAAAACATAAAAAATGTGTGTCTATAAGGGTGTTTCTTACTGTAAGAGAGAAACTCTTATCAATTATTTTTTAAATCTGAGTAATTGTTTAATTGATTAATCTTAACAGATCTAATTCATACTGGCTCTTCCACACATACAAGAACACACTTTCACACTGGATGCTCAGACAGATTACAGTGAGCTGTTGTGAAATGGACACACTCTCAGTCCACAACATACACACACTGTGTCACACAAACCGACACAAACACACAGAAATACACACTAAAGATGATCCAGCATTACAGACCTTCAGCTGTCTCAGGCTCCAACTCCGCTTTTCCTGAATCAGACAAGACACAAACATTTAGACTCAAATAACCAGTGTGTGTTTGTCTGAGTGTGGTAAGTGTGTGTGTGTGTGTGTGTGTGTGTGTGTGTGTGTGTGTGTGTGTATGACAGAGAGAGAGAAAGAGAAATATTACCTTTGGGTATTTTGCAGATCCAGTCCAGTTCAGTGTCACATTCTGTCTTTAGCCAGTTCATGTCTGCAGGGTTCGCTGCTCCACACTGTGCTGAGCTATACGGACCCCTGCCAAAGTTCTGATAGGACACCTGAGAGAGAGAGAGAGAGAGAGAGAGAGAGAGAGAGAGAGAGAGAGAGAAATAGAAATGCTTCAGCCTTATAAAGATATACAATACTGTGCAAAAGTCAGAGACCACCCCTCATTTATTTAATTTCCCGTCAAAATAATTTTCGGGACTTCAGATTTGCAGTATCTTCTATCTGATCTCCTCAGAAATATCTCCTGGAAAATAAATTATGAGGATGATATGAGTACAGAAAGCCATTACTTACACTGTTATTCAAAAGTTTGAAATCAGTGTTAATATTTAACAATAAAAAACAATTTTTCTGAAGATAAATTTATAAAATGAATCTAATTTGAAGCTAGTTTTCTACATCTTCGTAGGTTTATAATAATTAGCGGCAAGCTGTAAAAATATGATTTGTCTGTCACTCCGGGAATTTGTGATCACAGATTCATGTAAATTCAATCAACTCAATAGCTTGACATTTTTTTTTCCTCCAGTGCATTTCAATGCATTATTACTGTACTAAATGTCAAATAACATGGATAAGATGATTCTAAAATGACTAGGAAAGCTGTAAAACACTGAGAATGAAGTTATCATAAGATTAATATTCAGAATACTTTATGTATCAAATTTACTTGATGGGAAATTACCATAAATAGATCATTACAGTATACTTTTTATCATCTCATATTGAAATAATCTTGTCTTTAAAAACTGAATAAAACATCTAAAAATACCTTCTGGTGTTTATAATATTTTAATTTAGTGCATAATATTTCAATCTACACTGTATAAGAGTAGAACAGGCTCACTTACAACTGTTCTATCACTCCATGTCCAGCTGTCGCTGTTCCGGCGGGATAAACCAATCCAGATCCAGTGACCCTCCTCATCCCTACACACACAGCCAGTCAAAACACACACACACACACACACACACACACACACATAGCCGTAAGTACTCCTGTTCGTAATTGCTCATGCATGAGTGCAGAGTGAAATTTATGACTTTTGTCATTGGCTCACATTTTTGGGACCAAGGCCCAATCCCATTTCACCCCTTGCCCCTACCACTTAGCCCTCAGCCCTCTGTTTTGCATGTTCACGTCTAGGGTTAGAGTGTTCCGATTTTTATTGAGATGGAGGGGTAGGGCGAAGTGTTAGGGCTACATGGCCCTCCAAACGGAGGTTTTTCAGAGACACACTCCAAACAGAGTGTTATGAGAAAAAAAAGAAAAACTGGCAAGATGGCTGCGCGAGCGACCAAAGAAACCCACAAATGTGAGCATTTTCTCCATTAAAAATTATGATAATCATTGTATTATCTTACTTTAATGTTGTTTCAATGTATTATGGTCATTTTCTTCATAACAAGCATAAAAAATCGCTAATAGCATGCCAATATCTCAGTAGCTAGCTAGCTAACTTTCCCGTTCCACCTTAAATGGTGCAGCAGTCACATTCTGGCGCTTAAGGCGTCAGAACTGCTGGAACGGGAAAATTCGAACGAGAAGCTGGTGAATGGCTGACTTCAGCTTCGTATCACCAAAGAATTAGGGTGGGCGATAATAAATAATTGTCTTAAACCCCCTCTTTTAAGGCATTTGAATGCCCTAAATGTAACTAAAGCCCAGCAGCAAAGTTACTGAACTTTTCCCTTCTCTGCTATCACGGAAGACGGGCCGGGTCGCCTACAGAGCACCGCTAGTAGCCTGTTAATAAAGCAATGCTCTTTTAATTTGAGGGTTGTCCCATTTCGTATGGTAAGATTTCAACCACTACCCCTTGTAACTCCAGTTCAAAGGGGTTAGGGTGACACTTGAAAACAAGGGGTAGGGGTAAAAAGAAGAAATGGGATTGGGCCCAAGAAAGTCTCCATGAAGCAAATATGGTGGCATTCAAGACATACTTCTGGGAGCCATGCACCACTGAGCAATTCTATTGAAAACAATAAGCACTAATGCTAAGTCTCGCCGAAGTCCTATACTACCTCTATGGTATCATATGAACATTATAGAGCATTATGAAGTATTTTTAAGTCAACAATGCATTGACAGTAAAATGTCAAAATGACTGCATGTATTGCGGCCATTTTAGCAAATTGTGTATATCCATTTTTAAACAATTTAAATAATTTGAAAACACCAGCTGCCCTTTACATTTTGGGAAAACTTCATGATTAGTGACTCCTGTGAACTCCTGCAAACTTACCATTGCGGAGATATAAAGTTCTCGTCCAGCCACGAAGGTATATACATTAAAGAGCATTATAAAGCATTTTTAATAATGGCATAGTGAGTATAAAACAACACATCAGCAATTGTTTCATAATCTTCATCCTTGACAAATCATCTAAAGTCGCTGCAGCCCTACTTCACAGGCAAACGCAGCTACTCAGAACAATGCAGTAAAGCCACGTACACACACAAATACACACACACTCCCTTTCACAACCACACTCACCCGAAGGCCTCATGAAGGACCTGAAAGACGAAGGCTTCCTCATCTGAGTTGCCAAAGCTGGCCAGCTCAGCACCGTGCTTCTGACAAAACATATGAGCCTGGATCCACGTCAGCTTCTTCTCCAGCTCCCCCGCTTGGAAGACCTGCAAGAGTCAGCAGTGAGAACACACACATACACACGCCTGCAGCCAATGACAATCCCACAAACGTTCTACAACCCACAAAAAACAGTGTTGGGAAATATATATCGCCTGTATTAGCACTAGCGTCACACATCCATCCATCATCTTAACCGCTTATCCTTCTGGGTCGCGGTTAGCGTCACACAATGATGCTTATTTTAGCTTTAGCATGATTTATACACAACAAAAAACATAAACCACATCGACTATAAGTGACTTTATATACAAGACAGGCACTAAATAAACAAAACAAACAAACAAATAAATCATTGTATGTCACTTACTGGGCACTTCAGATTATTTTGAAAGGACATAATATTCAAAGTACATCTTACACAATATTTCCTTTCTGGAAATGTGCTTTGTGGTTAGTTCATGTTTATAATACTGATCCTTTGGCGTAAATTTTTTGTAGCAAAACAGACCAAAACAGTTCAATATGCAAATTATGTCAGGTCTGTTAGAGATTCTTTTAGTGTAGAAGATCACTTATCAGGAACGTCTGGGTTCTAGGTATCTAGAGTCAGAAGTTTCAAAAAGTCAAATAATAAATTATGATTTTTGATAAACAATTTAGCTTTTCTCCAACATTATATGTTCTCATATTGAAGAACCATGAGATGACTGAACAGAGATGGAGACTCAAATCAGTGACTGGGACACGAGTCGCATGGTGACCTGATTCGTAACTCACCTTGGACTCGTGCTTAACTGACTCCTGACCTGGCTCGTGCTTAACTGAATTACGATTCGACTCAGACTCAAGTTTAACTGAATCCCAACTAGATTCAGACTTGCACTTAACGGACTCCTGACTCATCTCAGACTCACGGCTAACTGACTCCTGACTCGTCTTAGACTCGTGGTTAACTGACTCCCAACTCATCTCGGACTCACGCTTAACTGACTCCCAACTCATCTCTGACCCACGCTTAACTGACTCCTAACTCATCTCAGACTCACACTTAACTGACTCCCAACTCATCTCAGACTCTCGCTTAACTGACTCGCAACTCATCTCAGACTCACGCTTAACTGACTCACAAATTAACTCAGACTCTCACTTAACTGACTCCCAAACAGACCCATGACTTGAAAAAAATCAGCCAGGGGGAAAAAAAGCACAAGCGAAACTGACTGAATAAAGAGCGCCAACAATAATACAGTAAATAAATACAACCATACATGTGCAAATTTGCCTTTTAGTTTTACTATGGTCATGCACAGTGCATTATGGGTACTGTAGTCAATTTAAGTTATTACTTTGGCAACTGCAGTCACTGCTGTGATGCAGAACACTCTTTTTTCACTTTTTCTCGTTGGCACCATGTTTTTTGTTTAATAAATGAACTGTCTGCAATAATGCTGAATACTTCACCAACATTCCAGTCCAACTCAACCTTTTGATAAAGGAGAGATGCCAAGGTCCGTTCAGTACTGCTTCAAATGAGTCTTTTATTATGGAACATCTTTCAGTCTGAAGGACAGAACTAAAGCACTTCTCGTAGTAAATGTGTTTAAGGGAATGAGGCAAAACTAGCAGTAGCTAATTCAGCTGTAGTTGTCAGTGAATCTACCTGAAGCACCATATTTTCTGCACTCTGTCATGAAAGGCTTGTTATTTGGCAGGAGCAGCTTATGACAAACTGAAATTCTCTACTAAAGACTCAAGACACGACTCGACTCAATCTGCCTCAGGCTGAATGGTTTTCTGTAATGTAAGGCTTGTTATATAAAGCGGTGTCAGACTTGACAGATACAGCTAATAATGAGACTGAAATTCTGTACTAAAGACTCGAGACTCAACTCAGACTTACACCTCAGAGACTCGAGACTCGACTGGGACTCACACCTCAGAGACTCGAGACTCAACTCAGACTTACACCTCAGAGACTCGAGACTCGACTGGGACTCACACCTCAGAGACTCGAGACTCAACTCAGACTTACACCTCAGAGACTCGAGACTCGACTGGGACTCACACCTCAGAGACTCGAGACTCAACTCAGACTTACACCTCAGAGACTCGAGACTCGACTGGGACTCACACCTCAGGGACTCGAGACTCAACCCAGACTTACACCTAAAAGACTCAAGACTCGACTGGGACTCACACCTCAGAGACTCGAGATTCAAGTCAGACTTACACCTAAGAGACTCGAGACTCGACTGGGACTCAAACCTTAGAGACTCAAGACTCAATTCAGACTTACACCTAAGAGACTCGAGACTCGACTGGGACTCACACCTCAGAGACTCGAGACTCAACCCAGACTTACACCTAAGAGACTCAAGACTCGACTGGGACTCACACCTCAGAGACTCGAGACTCAACTCAGACTTACACCTAAGAGACTCAAGACTCGACTGGGACTCACACCTCAGAGACTCGAGACTCAACTCAGACTTACACCTCAGAGACTCGAGACTCGTCTGGGACTCACACCTCAGAGACTCAAGACTTGATTCAGACTCGCACCTCAGAGACTCGAAACTCGACTGGGACTCACACCTCAGAGACTTAAGACTCGACTTCAACTCGCACCACAGAGACTTGAGCCTCAACTCAGACTCGAGACTCGACTCAAACATCTCAGAGACTGGACACTTGAGTCAGACTCACACCTTAGAGGCCACAGCGTCAACTCAGACTCACACCTCAGAGACTCGAAACTCGACTCAAACATCTCAGAGACTGGACACTCGAGTCAGACTCACACTTTATGCTGGCCTTACACCAAACGACTTTTCAAGGGATTTCGCTGTCTCAGACAAATATCCAATGTCGAAATAAAATCATGAGGGTCTTGCTAGAGTCGCGTCGTCTCAATCGTTTAGTGTAAGGTGGTCAAGATGGTGGTCTTAAGTCAGTCTTTTTGCCGTCTGGACGCCACGACAAAATCAACCGTGTTTAATATTATCGTAAGTTTTAAGTCTTGGCTCACGCAAATAGTGACGCGCCAGGGGTGCGTGTGAGTACTTGCGAGCTCCACTTTAATACAATAATCATATTAACTTGAATGTAAACTGCCTGCTTTAATATTTTAGGTTCACTGAGGTAACAGTGATGTAATGAAATGCACAGAGGACTTTAAGAACGACATTATTGAAGAATCATCGATTTTTTTTCCTATTTTGCTTCCTGTTACACTGTTTGTTTTTTATGGTTTAGTTCATAATATCCAATCAACAATGCTGAATCGCTGCATGTTGTGTTGATGTGTAAATCTTCATATCAAATTTAAAAAGTATCTGCACTTTTTACAGGTTAATTAAAAGATTCTGGGTGATGATCTGCCAGAATATGCAGTTCTACAGTGAACTGGGCTGAGCCTCAGATCCTGACATGTTCAGCCAGTGTATCTTCCCATCTGTATCACTATAGAGTGGAAGGAAAAGTGTTTATCTGCTTGTGAATGTCCACCAGGTGCATGATGGGGAATAATCTCAAAAATCTAGTTGCAGTCTTGTAAATAGTGACACTGCAAGATTCCTAGTCTTTGCAAAATCATAGTCTGTGACTAAAAACCGTGACACTGTCTTTAGGTGTGAGATGGTGTAAGACTTCGGTCTTTCAAAAGTCTTTTCAAAGTCTTTTCAAAGTCTTCTAGTGTATGGATAGCATTAGAGGCCACAGTGTCAACTCAGACTCAGTTAGGGGTTTTTGGCTGTGCTCATGGCTTGGAGAGGAGATGAGCACCATTAAATCTCACAAAGCTCTCTGAAAAGACCAGATGGGCAGACAGCAGCTACTAATCAACAAGCCAGAACGGTTGAGGCCCAGATTAAGACTGACCCCGCATCCAACTTGCAAGCTCCAGGGTGGGAGTGACCAGTGTGCTACTAGAGCCAATTCCACCAATTCCACTATCAAGCTACCACATAAGAAGTGTTGCAGAAAAGTGGCAAGAAAAAATAAAGGTAAGCTCAAATTTACAAGTACAGTCTAGTTATTTAGATATAATAAATGTTTTTATCATTTAGTAAATTTATCACATTTGGTATTGTAATAAACTCTTTACAAACTTGCCCTTTTTAAGCCAAACAGTACGATGTGACAAGGCTAGTAAGTAGACATTAGCTGAGGTGAAAACAGGCACATTTGACTTTATGTTGCCTTTTTCAGCGTAAAATTCAAGTCACATGTGACCTACTATGGGTTTTTGTGGACAGGGTCTAGGTTTCTATATAGTACATTAACAGTAAGATGCTAAGTGGTGCTTCTTTGTGTCCAGCGTTCAGTAGGCCGCTCTACCAGTGACATGGAAACATCAACAGATATTCTTATTGATATATTCAACAGAAATATAATTCAAAATGTAATTGTTTCAAAATATTTAAAAATTCCAATTGAATTAAAAATAATAAAGACTGAAACTGCTTTTGTGATAACCTGTTGCCATGGCTTACTAAATTTAGAAAATACTGATGATGAATTTAATCAATACCGCCTACTACGTGTACTGAAAAAAATCCATTTAAATATAACACAAGATCAACACCATTATTATCCAGAGAAAGACAGTTGTATTAAAGTAATAAATTTCATTAATGTCTACACATTTCAATCAATTACATTCAATGCCTCTTGTTTATCAGTCTAAAAACACGCTTCAGTCACACAAACACACACACCTTATAGCAGTGGCGCAGCGTGCCGGATGTTTTCCACTCAGAAGGGCACGTCCCGCTAAGAGAGGGAGTGGGCTGTGGTTTGGGGGGTCCAGGGAAGATAGTAGAGTCTTTTTCTTGTCTGCAGATGTATTTGGAGCGTGCACTCATGCACTCCTTCACCTCCCACAGGCCTGTAGCATGTCCTGTCGCCATTGCAACACATCCGCCTTTTATAGGGGCTGAAGGTAAAAGAATATCATACAATAGGTTGGCCAAATTTACACCATTTTCACAAGTGTAGTCGATCAGGCGAGACATGTTTGGTGGAAAAAGTTTGATTTTTTGGTTGTGCAGTGGAGACATAAGACTAACATTGCTAAAAAATTAAATAGGGGCTTAAAAACAAAAACACAAAATCTTAACAAACCAGAGAAAACAAGGAATAGATCTTGCTTTTTTATTGAAAGATTAACAGGCTATGGTAGATTTGTAAGTATAAAATTAATCAGATAGCTAATAGCTTTTAGTAACTTCGTCCACATTTTCTTACTTCGACAAATTAGCTAATTTCACAGACTTCTTACAGTGAAATAAGAAACTTCCTTTCAGAGAACTGAAAAGTTTTAAGGCTCTCCACTATGAAAGAAGAAATTCAAGAATTTCAAGATAACGGCACATATTTTAGGAATATAAATAACTTTATATCTTAAAAACATTCCAAAGCTTTTTTTTCTCAAAATAAGTAAAACTGTCTTAAATTTAGTCTTTCATAGTGGAGAACTTCAACCCTTTTCAAGATGGCTGATTAATCTCATACATACTAATCTAGTCTAGTACAGAATGTTTTGATTTGAGCATTACAGTATTGATTTATGACCATTTTAAAGACTTTTTACAGTTAAAAGCTTCTCTAGTATTGAGTATAAAGCTTGTTCAAACATTCCCATTTCAAGAAATTTTGTACAAAGTGAGGTTTTGAGAAGATGCTTAAAACAAGATTGATGTGCTAGTTTTTTCTCAGTTTAGTTGGATGACATTAGATCAAACTAGTGTTACTTAAACCCAATAACAACACCTGAAAGCAATGAAATATTTACTGATTTTACAATACTAAGATCATTTACAGCACAAGGTATTTTTAAGTCTTTTAAGAGATCTTTATTAAGCATTTTTTCACCATGTTGACATATTTTTTTTAATTTTGCACCTTGATTTGAATCAGTTTAGCACTGTTTAAACTGCATGGCTAAATCATCACAAACTTGATTCAAACTACAAGGAGTTGTTCAGTTATATCAAGTAGACTTGCTAACATGGTTTCTGACACTGTATGACAGACTATTATCTATAAAAATGGACCAAAAGTTTGAGGCATAGCTAAACACAGGAGTAGCAGCCACACTGAGGCTAAAATGTTGTTTTTACTCCCAAGTTGCTGGCCATAGAGCTCTAATTTACTCACCACAAAAACAAACACAATGGCCAATCTCATCTCTGTGACTACTGGGTAAGCCTGGGTTTTTATTGTCTGTAACTGTCTGTAACTGTCTGTCTGTCTGTCTGTTGGATAGAAAGCAAGCTAATCAGATTTTCCTACTATGCACTAAAAGCGTAATTTTGCTAGTATTACTCAGTGCACTACACAGCGACGATGGCCTTGGTCTAAATAGTTTTGTATTTGTTGGACATCCTTCCTATACATGCAAGCAATGTGAAAATGTGGCATTTGACAAAACGATGCATTGTGCAAAAGTGTGCGCGGTTGTAGATGCGTGTGTCTTTATGTGCGTGCCTTTATGTGTGTGTGTGTGTGTGTGTGTGTGTATACCTGGCTGGTCCCGGTTCCAGTTGGCGTATGTCAGTTTCTCTCCAGTGAGCCAGCGGAAGGGGCCAGTGCTGTTCTCATCATGCAGACCCAGCCAGAAATGATCGTTTGAACGGCCAAACACGAGACTGTTCACAAACGCCTGCTCAAACCTACACACAAACAATAAGCAGCACATCAAATCACCAAATAGATACTCTTAATATTATACGTACATCCAGTGCAGACGTCAGAGACCACTCTTAATTTAATTAACTTCCAGTCAAAACAGCCATTAAGTACAAATTATTCTTTTTTTAATGTCAGGAAAAAAACAGAAAATATATATTTAACAGAAAATTACACAAAAGTCTCGACAACTAAATGTAAAAGGTTCAGTAATTAATGTATCCACTCCTTGCCTTTATTACAGCTTCCATTCCTTTTGGAGACTTGCTTTCAGTTTTTCAAAGAATGATACAGAGATATTTTTGAGTTGTCTTCTCACAGTGGAGGGATTTGTTGATTTATTCAGATCTGAAGTAAGAGTGGCGCTTGACTTTCTCCTCTCTCTCAAAGATGGAAGCTTTCAGTACTTTTTATCTGATGGCGACAGTGTTGGTGGTCCACCAGGTCTTCAAAGGTTGTGAGTCCCATTTTCTCCATATCTGATCTACTTATTTTTTGAACTCCTGTTTTGGAAACTCCATTTTCCATTTACTTCCCCATTTATTATGCAACTGCAAGTAGTTATCTTACATTTACTCTCCTCAGAAATATCTCCTGAAAAATGGCTGTTTTGGCTGGAAATTGAAAAATTCTTTGACATTTGCACTATATAAAGAAAAGGTCTTTGACATTTGCACTGTATAAAGAACTGTATAAAGAAAGCAGTGATGGACACAATGTACATATCGCTGTTGTCGGAAAAAAACCTCATATCTCCAAAATGATAACTTTACAGGAGAAGACAAAAAAACACTTTTCTTGTAATGTAAGTCAATGGAACCAGACTTTTTTCCAAGTCTTTTTGTGCAGTTTCTTTTGGTCCATTCATCATGACATTTACATACAATGTAAAGGGCAAGAGGCATTTTCAAATTATGTCAAAAACAACATGGAGATATGAGGCTTTGTCCCGACAGCAGCGATATACACATTACACACATACACATATAGTATGACAAAAAGATAATATTAATTAAAGTTACCCTGTAATTATTGCAGACTTTAGAATGTATTTTTAGATTCTGATATGTTTCGATGTGTTGCTTGTGTTTAAGAGGTACACAACATGTCAAAAATGCTAAACTGTTCACACACCGCTTGTATAACCTGTATAGAACAACTACTTTGTATTGCGATTTAAAGAACCACATAACATGCATTTCAGTCTGGTTAACGTGGCTTCCATCACTTTTGAGATAAAGGCAAAACAGAATTTATAAATTTTTGGGATAACAGTGCAATATTTAGCCTCCAACAGTGTCAATTAAATGGAATCACCAATGCATAACTATGCTTGCTCCTTCTCCAATACTATAAGTGAAGTAGAACATCACTAAAAATAAAACCTCTAAGGTGTTAATTAATCCTTAGCATAGCAGTGCTAGCATTTAACCCCAAAAGAGTTACACTTAGATAAACAACATTTTCCTCAACAATATATAGACTGATGCATTAACGTTTTGGCACAATAAAACTTTAAAGAAGTCCCAGAGTAAAGAGGAGAAAAAGGTGTAAAAAGGAGTAAAAAGGTGTTTACGAAAAAAATAAATAATTAAAAAGAAGTTGAAGGTAGAGGCAAAATGTGCCTAAGTGTCAGAGCACTTAATGACCAAAGGGGTAAAGTATGGTCATTTTTATTTTGGCTGTCCAGAAATGAGGTGTTACACTGAAAATAAAGTAGTTTTTCCATGTTAATGAGGATGAGGACTTTTATTTTGAAAAATGTCTCTCAGTAAAATGACATAGTTGCCCATATTAATATAATGTAAGACATGTATGCTTTATAAAAGTTGCTTTAAACATTCATGAACATGTTATGAAGTGTTTATGTAAGATGTTATGAATGTGTTGTATAGACACCCAAGTAAAGTGTTACCAATTTTTCCCATGTTAAAAAGTGAATTAAATGGAAAATTGTCATACAGCTGTCATGTATAGGCAGAAGACTTTTACCTGTTGTTGATAATGGCTAATGTGGAATTCTTGCTGGCACATGCCCTTTTGGCATTGTTAAAGGTTACAGACTCCTCTCCAACCCAGAAACACGCAGGACTGTGCCACTTCCAGCCCTGGATGGAGAAATCAGGAAAAGGTGGGTGGGGGGAGAGATTAAGAGAGAGAGAGAGAGATAGAGAGAGAGAGAGAGAGAGAGAGAGAGAGAGAGAAAAATGTATTTGTATGTATATGTAATCATAGACTGAGATGGACATGCTCTCACAAGAAGCCAAATAACCCAAAGGCATCCAGCTGTCAGCCCAGCCGCTCACGCTGGGGACAGATGTGTTCTCTCTTTGGGTGTCTGACCTCTCAGTAACTCCTAATGCAGACAGTCTCATGAGATATGAATGCAAAACAGGATGAACTTAGCTTTAATTAGGTAGAACCCAAAAACATTAGGCTGGTACACTTTACAAAAATCCTACACATAATCTCACTGCTGTCTTACCAGAACCTCACACACTGTAACCTTAAGGGAATGGTAAATGGTAACTTTGCAGCAGAAGGTAAAACCCTTAAAGCTACACTATGTCAGATTTGGGGATCTGGAGACCTTTCTGGGGGAAATGTGTAATTGTAAACAACATGTGGAAGAACATTTTATAACGCTGGTTGTGCTTCTGATCCCCTCCTCAAGCTGATCACAGCCCATGTAAAGAGCAGTAAGAGCAGCTGGAGTTTTCAAATGGTGTAAAAATAGAAATTAATTTAAACAAAGAAATTACAAAATTTTGACTTGACAGTGAAGATTTACTGTTTTGTTTTGCTATTTGCTATTTATTTTGCTGCATTTGGAGCCTTGTGAGCCTGAGAAGTTTGGTGGGCCTAGAAGTAGCCTTTAACCTTTGACCTCCTGACAGGGCCATCTAGGATGCAGCCATTTGGGAGGGAACTCATATTACAACTTAGACAAAAGGAGAGGTCACAGTGAGGTAACAAGACACACACACACATTCATACACAGACTTATTTACCTAATTAAATGAAAGCATATATAAGAATGTTCTAGATGGCCCAGGAATGGGAAGCTTTAGATGAAGGATAGAACTAAGAGACAGAAGGCAGAAGGAGAGAAAGAGTGAAACAGAGAGAAAAAACAGAATAACAGAGAGGAAAGAGGTCAGAGAGAGGAACAGATTTAGCAGACGTATGAAAATACTCACAACTTGGTGTGTGTGTGTGTGTGAGTGTGTCTGTGTGTGTGTGAGTGTGAGTGTGTGTGTGAGTGTGTCTGTGTGTGTGTGTGAGTGTGAGTGTGTGTGTGTGTCTGTGTGTGTGTATGTGTGAGTGTGAGTGTGTGTGAGTGTGTCTGTGTGTGTGTGTGAGTGTGTGAGTGTGTTTGTGTGTGTGTGTGAGTGTGTCTGTGTGTGTGTGTGTGTGAGTGTGTGTGTGTGAGTGTGTGTGTGTGTGTGTGTGTGTGTGTGAGTGTGTGTGTGTAAGAGTGTGTATGACTGCAGTATTTACAGTGTGTCTCTGGCAGGTTTGTGCAGATTGACTACATCTGGAGTTCCAACAGCATGACACAGCAACACTGAAAAGACTCTTTATGTGAGAAAGGGAGAGAGAGAGAGAGAGAGAGAGAGAGAGAGAAAGAGAGAGAGAAAGAGAGAAAGCGATAGATAAAGAGAGAGACAGATAGAGAGGGGTATATAAACACAGAGAGATTCAGAAAGAAAAAGACAGGAATCAAGAGAGAGACAGAAATAGAGAGAGGTACATAAACAGCAAGAGAGTCAGAAAGAAAAAAGAGACAGAGGGACCAAGAGAGAGAGAGAGAGACACAGACAGGGGAAGAGAGACACATATAAAGAGTGAGAGAAAATGAGAGAGAGAGACAGAGATAGAGAGAGAGATAAAGACAGACAGCGAGACAGAGACAGAGAGAGAGACAGAGAGAGAGAGATAAAGACTGAACTTTCTAAAATAAAAACTGAATTTAACAGGAGGAAACACAAACAGTTGGTGTAGTGTAGAGGTAACACTGCTGCCCTCCTTGAGTTTGACCGGAGTTTGGTTTCCCCGTCTGGTCAAGCACACCACACTTAACCAATAAGAGTCCAAGACTCCTAACGCTACATTTGCCTTCCTCTGTAACACGATTAAAACTTGAAATTACTTTGGATAAGAACGTCTGCCAAATGGTGTGAATGTGAAACTACAGGCTTTAGAGTAGTTTTACATGGGAATGTGAGCTGATGCAGTTATTACAAAATTATCTACTATAAAACAACAGTAGAAATAATCCTGGTTACATTATTCCAGTATTAGAATGAGAATGAGGTTTCACATATGAAGTATGGAGGCACTTACTTAAGAACAAAACTAACAACACACTGCATTCATCTGAGAAAGCCAGGCATGTGGCTCCGGTAAGCGCAATTATGATAAAACTTATGTACTTGTGAGCAGCTGAACTTAGTCAGTATGCAAGATCCCTTATCAGTGAATCAGTCATAAAAATTACAGACATCTTATGTTAAATTACATCACCACACCTCCCCACGCAAAACTAATCCTGTAGCAGTGCTTCAGCCAGACAATTCATTTAAAATAACAGAAACAAGAGACATCATATCTTTGCCTATCTAGTCTGTGGGAATACTAGTATGACCTTTAAATGTGTTCCTTAATTTCTATTTCCCTTTAATGATTATTTTATTTGTTTTATTATCATCCTGTTCTTCTATTTTTTTATTTGCTTCCATTTTGTTCATGAATTATTATTATTATATCTCTGCTGTCGGAACAAAACCTCGTATCTCCATATCTCCAGTTTTTCACGTAACTTGAAAATGCCTGCTGCTCTTTACATTCTGATGAATGGACCAAATTAAATGGCGCAAAACTACTTTGAAAAAAGTCTGGTTCCATTGACTTACATTGAAAGTGATTGATGTTTTTTCCTCCTCCTGTAAAGTTACCATTGTGAAGATATGAGGTTTTGTTTTGACAGAAACGAAATATTATGTAAAAATATACATTTATAATAAAACTACAGTTACTCTCCAAACTGTATGACTTATTTTTATGAGAGCTCCTTTTAATTGTTTATATGTATATTACTGATAATATAACCAATATAATCAACATGAATTATATTATTTGATTTGATCTGAGAGACAGAGCGATGAAGAGTCAAAGGGAAGGAGAGTAAAAAAATGGAGATGCTTAACATGTTAATACTTAACATGGTGCACAGCACAGACTGTAGACAGAATGAGAGAGGACGGACAGAGAGAGAGTTAAAGATGAAGACATGTAGAGTACCGGTCTGCAGCCGTGGTCCTGGATCGGTCCATCTGTCTTCTGAGCAGCTTTCTTACAGATGGAGGGCAAGGAGACATTACAGGGGCTGTCATTCCAGCGGCCCTCCTACACACACACACACACACACACACACATTCATGTACAAACAGAGAAAAATTAATGAGTTACATGATGCAGGTGTATCAAATTCATTTTTAATGCTTGTTCATGAATTTGTTACTTAAAAGGCCACAGTCCATAACAAAAGCATGGTATAATCTGTAGGGATGTGATATTTGAGTATCTGTGGAAGTTCATTACTATTACAGTTGTTTTGTAAAAATACAGGAAATGACTGTGTTTTAATTTGTAGCTCAATACAACTACATTACAGTAATCTTGTGGTCTGAGTGGAGTCACAGTATAAAGTTGCTATTTTACTGTTACTTAGTCACTATGGAAAGGAAAATTAGTGTGAAGATAAGGCAGCTGGTAGCTGGTAATTTACTCTACTTTTACACTTATTTTGTTTTACAGTTAACGTAAATTAAACATAATCCACTACGTAAGTAACTGTATACTTAACTGTGTAATTATGTAAGTAGATCTGAATTAAAATGACAGCAATAACGAAACTTCTGAGGGTTAAATGCCTTCAATTCCAAATGCCTTTTCATCGCACTTCTGAGCCACGTAGCATAGCAGAGTGACTCAACATAGCTGGACAGCTCTAACTGACTGCCCACACTTATTACAGAATGCCTGACCAAAACAGCTCTCTGGGAAGCAGAGGAGTCTATTGTGCAATACCTCCATCATAATAATAAAGCAGCCAAACGCCTTCTGCCGGCACTTCCGGTCGCAGCCTGCATATTAACTGACCGCTCTATTCAGGACAACCGTCCACTAATGCTAAATGGAAAACATTTCATAAGCAGGGTATATGTTTTCTTCACTGAGCTCCAAATAATGTTAAGCACTTTTAAAAGGGTTTCATTCCATTACCCAGATCTGAACAGACAAGAGGTTCCAAAACCACCACCTACAGTGTAGAGCCTGACTGTCTGACTGTGTAACTAAAACTACTGGAGTATAAAATTATATCCTAGTATATATATTTAAAATATAAAATCATATCAGTCAATATTATCAGTACTCTAATTTTTTAGCCCCTTAAAATCAGTATTAGCCACACAATTTTCATATCAGTTTAGTCTTACTACAGTATACATAAGTAGTGGGTGATAGTGAATATATATCACAATACTTCACAATACTTCTAAGAAATGTTCACAATACACAGCACCACAATATTTATTATCTTCTAACATCTGATAAGTTGAAACAAGCAATAAAGAGCCAGTAGTGCCACATTAAAAAAACACAAAACTAAGCCCAAATGATTATTATTTAAATTCTGACATTCACTAAACCTAATTAAAAAGCACTAACTGTGCTGTCATTGTAATAAAGCACAGTTAGTCTGTGTTCTAGAAGTACTGACGATAACTACAACATACTCAAAAAAGCATACTGTGACACATTGTGATACAATTTATATTGCCCTAAGTGCGCACTGGACCAATGGGGTACAAATAGCTGTGAGTGATGTGGTGTGGCAGGGCAGGTTTTGCCTGATCAGGAAGCTATTTAATCTACATAAATCTAGAGTTATTATTATTATAATTAATATATTCTATTTATATATTCTATGTGAACTGCATGTTGTATATTCCATTTGAATAGCATATTATTTAAATGTAATTGTGTAATTCCAAAGTTACTTACATAATGAACTACATTTACATTCGACAGGTTCAAATCTGCAGTCAGATGCAAGCGAGGGGCTAGAGGGGGTACTCACCGGGCCCCACATGGTGACGCAATCCTCCTGCGTGTTCAAGAAGTTGTTGGGCTCAAACGGGTGCCAGAAAGTGAAGATGACTGGGGTGCGGTCTGTCCACTCAAAATTCATCTGCATGGCGGTGTCATGCAGGCCTATCCATAATTCATCTACATCTGAGAGAGACGAACAGAAAGACTTGAGTTGTACACTCAGATACTGTGAGTGTGTGTGTATGAGAGAGAATATGACAGTGTCATAGATGCCATGTTTGAAATTTGGCCTTTAGGGTCTGTCACACTGTCAATGTCTTATTAAGGCTCTTTTTTGCACCGTTTGAAAAACCCAGCTTTACACTGGGTGAAGATTTTATTATGAATAAATCAACAGAAATGGTAAAATAATTATTTAGAATAAAGCTCTGTTACTTAAATTTATATTAAAAGTTAAGAATGTTTTCTTTCACCTATTGACAAGATATGAAGCTGAGGCTTTGTTATAACAGCATTGATATGTGTGTACCTCTTTTCATTTGCACAGTGATGAACTCCAGCTCCGGCAGGGTGTGGATGCTGACTAGGTGGGCATCCATCTTCTGGCAGGTTTTCTGGGCAGAGTTCCAGTCCATCTTCTCAGAGTTCAGCCTATAGCATCCAGCCTGGAAGTTCTGCCAGCCTACATCACACTGATACTGACCATCATCTGCCCACGAGTCTGAAATACACACACATACACACAGTGATGAATACCTGCCCTGGGTTTGAGATGATCTTCAGAGCCTAGAACAATAAAGACATACTAATAATTTGTTACAAACCCAATTCCAAAAATACTGAGACAATTAATAAAATGCAAATAAAAACAGAAAGCAGTGATTTGCAAATTATTCTGACCTGCATTCAGTTGAAAGTGGTAAAAAGACAAGATATTTAAAGTTTCAACTAATTAACTTTTGCGTATATATGATTCTAAATTTGATGCCTCAAAAGTTGAGACAGGGGCATGTTTTACATCACCTTTCCTTTACATCAACATTCAGTAATCGTTTGGAAACAGACACTAATTGTTGTAGTTGTGAAAGTGGAATGTTTCCAATTCTTCCTTGATGTAACAACTCAGCTGCCCAAAAGTCCAAGGTCTCTATTATTTTGCGTCACACTCCATGTACTGCACTTCGTAAAGTGCCACACATTTTCAATGGGAGACGTGTTTGGTGTTGTTTTCCTGAAACAAGCAAAGACGTACCTGAAAAAGATGGCAACATATGTTGCTCCAAAATGCACACGTACCCCGCGCACTAATGGTGCCCTCACAGATGCACAAGCTAACACTGATGACATTGCCACTAACCCACCCCTATACCACGACAGGTGCTGGCTTTTAAACTTTGGGTTGGTAACATTCTGGATGGTCCTTTACCTCTTTGGCCCTGAGAACCAGATGTCCATTATTTCCAAAAACAGTTTGAAAACTGAACACTCCTTTCCCACCTTTCCAATTTGTGTCAGTCCATCTCACATGAGCTTTAGCCCAGAGAAGTCGGCGGTGTTTCTGGATGTTGTTGATATATAAGCCTTCTGCTTTGCGTAGTAAAGTCTTAACTTGCATTTACAGATGCAGTGATGAAATGTGTTTACTGGCATTCATTGAAGTTCACAGGGATTCAGTATTGGTTTTTGGCCTTGTACTGTACACAGAGAGATTTCTCCAGATTCTCTGAATCTTTTAAAAATGTCATGGGCTGTAGATGGTGAAATCTCTGAATGTCATGCATGTTTAATTATATGCTGAGAAACGTTTTTTTAAACTGTTGGACTATTCGTTTATGCATTTTTCGCAAAGTGGCGACTGAGTCTTTCATGAACGCTCCTTTTATACACAATCATGACAACATCATTTATTACCTGTTCACCTGCAGAAAGTTCCAAAACAGTGTTTTTAATCATTTTACAAACTTACACTTTTTTGGAATGTGTTACAGGCGTCAAATTTGGAATTAGTATATATTTACAAAAATCAATAAAGTTGATGTGGTAAAATATTAAATATCTCTTCTTTGCACTGTTTTCAATTAAAAACCTATTTTAAGAGTTTACAATTCACTGCTTTCTGATTTGATTTGCATTTTCCTACTGTCATAATTTTTTTGGAGTTGGATGTGTACTTTGTATACAATATTAAGTATTGAGATATAATAATAACTCTCTAATATGTCTATTTAATTAATATAAACTATTCACCATACTGTACTTCTAGTTTCATTCAATATGTCAAATATTGGCACAGGAAGAAGTTTGATAATATAATTTAATTCTCTGTTTTAAATATTTTTTTGCCAAGTCATGTGCCTTGAGATTTGATCACCCCCTTAAAATATGAAGCAATAACTAATTTTGGACATTTTTATATAACTTTAATCTTAACGTTATACAGCTTTCTCATTTAATATGGAATTGTCTACAGCTCTGTTCATCTTTTTACCTTTTTCACAGCTCCCCAGCTACCTGCTAATTATTCAAAACCTGTGGAGGTGCACAAGACTGGCATATATCTGCAGCAACTAGTTTTATATTACTAAAAACATTGATTCCAACATTTTTAAAAATGTTAACATGTTTTTTACCAATTTTTAAAATCACATTAAATCTTTTAAATACCTTCCTAAGACCTCTACAAAGGAAGAATAATAGATTTTCCACTTCAGCTCAAATATGGCATTTATTAAACGGCCCATATTCTGTATTGTCCTTCTATTTTATTTTTTTCTCTTAAGGTCCACTTACAATATTTGTTTGGTTGTATGTGCCAAAAATGGCTATAATTCATTTTTACATTAGCATTTTTCAACCTTTCTTTATCCTTTACAATTAAACAGTGGCTTCAAGACTGATATAAAATAAATGAGCTCTGTTTTGAATTGGCCGTCCAGTATTGCGCCTCAGTCAAAAAGCACTCAGAGCTGAAACACTTCCAAGAACTTCAGATAAACTGTTATCTTTTCTACTGCTTAATCCGCGGTCAGTTTCTGAGCAGAGGACTACAGTCTGCTGGATATTTTTGGTTGGTGGACTATTGTAAAGCAATTTAATATACATGACTTTTTCACCCCAGCCTTTACGCTGAATATTATAATATATTAAACTGAATAACTTATATATGAAAAAATTAGACATTTCTAGTCTTTTCATTGCCTAAAGACCTTTTTAAGGTATTATTAAAACTTTTGAATGACCTGCAGTAACCTTGTGCCAGTGTATACATATACACACACCTGTGGTGAAGGGGTCCAGGGTGGCGTTGGGTCTTTTCTTGCAGATGTAAGGCAGAGCCATTGAACAGTCTCTGTTTTGCCAGCGGCCTGAGCTTTCAGTGCGGATCACAGCACAGTTCTGATCCTCCTCATGATTTGGCTGGTCTAGAAACACACAGACACAGAGTCTTTATTCAAATCAAGCCTGCCTTATACAGACAATTACCTGCAATCTCTCAGGCACCAAATAATGCTCTCACTTGCCACACTGGGTGAATGCCAGGCTTACAAGCTGTCATTTGAAGCCACCATGAGTCAGCGCTAGCTTAAAGACTTACAGTAATCAGCAAATAAATCAAGCTATTGTTCCACCTGGGAGAAACGAGTGAGCACATGTTATAAAGTCTGTAGCTCTGTGAGTGTGATTCTCTCACCTGTCTCCCAGTTGAGGTATTTAAGAGGGGCAGAGTCAGCCCACTGCCAGCCTCCATTAAGGTCCAGATCATTCAGACCCATCCACAGGGCAGCACTATAACCAGTCAGCAAACCTGAGGAAGTGATTTTGTTCCAGATTTAGCACTTTTTTACTATCATCAACATTATATATAAAAACTAAAAACAAATGTAACTGTTTTGAAAAGTATAATAAAATGGAAAAAATTTGCACTGCAGGCATCACAACCCCTGGTTCCTATCACTACCACTGTAAAGAAATTAGAGTCAGTGAGTTTCTCTGCAACATAACATTTCACATCAGACCACCCTCAATGACTGTTTGCATGTCAACAATTGAAGTATGAAGAAATCCTGAAAAACTGAAATGTGGAATTCCTCTTCAAGTCATCACAAATAGAGATTTCCCTGCTTTTTTCTACAAAAATGGACAAAATAATGGATCTAATTAAGGTCGCGAGTACCGCCCAAAGGTACATTTTCTTGCTCAAATGTTGCTGTTTGGTGGCTAAGAAGGCCGAATTGTGATTCTCCTGAAATTCATTAGACAAAAAGGAAATATGAGATATGACGAGAGAGGAGAGTTTAGCTGCAGATAAACATGAGTGTTATTATCTCATTTACTGAAACTCAAGAGGCACATGTGAGATTAGTGAGGTCCTCTTCTCAGGAGAAACATTTGAGCAGCAGGAGACTCCAGCAAAAGTCTCCTTTATCTTTCCTTATGATCTCACTGTTATCTAGGAGAAACTGCAGAGATATTAAGGAGGTCTCTTTTTAATTTTTGTCTCCTATTGGCGTTTCATCTGTTTAAAATACTGGTTTAGCACTGTTTCATATTAAAGATAAGAGTAAGTCATAGAGTCAGAAACCATGTAAGTATAAGCTCCCTTTACTTGCTAGTTTCATTAGCCTAATTGCACCAGTGTAACACTAAAGAAGCAAACTTCAGCTACCAAACATGTCTTGGCTGCTCAATTCCATTATGACTAAGGGGGAAATTGTTGAGAGCACAGGTTTAATCATAGAAACTCATATTTTCTTTGAAAGTTCTTTCAATTGTTACTGATAGTCCATTTTTACCATGACTACCATCAGCTTCATTATCTCTGTTCCTTTCTCTCTGTCTCTTTGTCAGTCTCACCATTGATGTAGCTCTGCTCCTCCACCTTGGTAATGCTCAGCAGGTCTGCCCCCTGCTGCTGGCAGCTGGTACGAGCCTCACTCCACGACAGAGTGGCCTGGAAATTAAACTGGTAGCAGTTATCCATCAGAGAGTCGGTGTCCCAGAATGTCTCACAGTCCGCACCTACACATACAGAGAGAAAGAGAGAGGGAAAGAGAGAGAGAGAGAGAGAGAGAGAGAGAGAGAGAGAGATTAAACAGGCATGTTCTTCTCTGAGCCAAACTACTGAACTGCAAGCCACTTACGTTAGTGGCACATCTGAATCACTTGAACAAACAGCATTAACTGTTATGGTAGGCTGGGGACAGCTGTAAGAGTAGGCGGTTTCTGGTAAACTGGACTCACTCTTAATGGGGCAGAATCCCCAGCGCTCGTCCTTGCCGTAATCGTGGGTGGTAGCACACCAAAGATGGCCGTCCTCCCGCCCAACACTGGTGCAGCTGTGGAACCACTGGCCATCGTACAGGAAGGGCAAGTAGCAGGGCCGGCCATGAGAGTTCCCCTGAATAGTGTAGATCTCTATGGAGATAAATTTGCAAGGTAGCCTTAGTCAGCTAATCGGCCAGGCATACAAACTCTGCAATGCAAGAAGTTCTTTCGAGAAGTTCGCGCATGAAATTTGAGCCCTGAAGTAGTGCCCTTCTTTTTGTTGCAGTTACTCACATAGGCTTTAGCATTCAAACTTAGCAACTTAGCAGAGCAAAGTGATGAAGACTTGGAGTAATTTGCCACCTAAAACCAGCAAACTGAATGCTGTAGCTTTGAATCATGAAGTATTTGAAAGCAGTTTACTGCTGTTACTTATACACAGATTTGTCCACCATTATTTTGGGGAATGAAATAGGAAATGTGTCAGGTCGCAGTGATTTCTGGGCAAGTTTTGCTCAGCCCTCTGAGGGCTCATCTAACACCCTTTTCACTTGGTCTTAACACGGCATCTGGGATTCCCCTGAGGAGAAACGCCAAGGCCAAGTGGACGAGGGCATGTTAAAACTGGTACTGAAGTGGGCAGATTGTTAACTTTGGGTAGATCAGGTATCTTGTACCTTTTTTGACTGACTTTGTACCTTTTTGACTGAGCACCTCACGTTAAACAAAATGGTGACAATAACTGAAGTCGTATATGGAAATATATGTCAGCAAAAAGTTAGTGTGAGTTTTTTGATCATGGAGTTACTACATGAACACCTGCATTTCATTTTTTTGTTAAAATCATACAACCACCAAAGTACAAGCCTAACGTGGCCAGACTGGCTGACTACTTAGTAGCTAATGTCTAATGACTGTCCTGAAAATAGACACTTTTGCTTTTATGTTTTTGACACTTTTACACTACACTGTTGTGTAGAATTATGTGTAAATCTTACGTTTCTCTTGAAAACATGAAAATTTGAGGGAAGTAAACTCACTATGCTAGCATACATGCTAACAACATTAGCGTTAGCTACCAAGCTAGCTAATTAGCAAAAGTCTTTACAAAGTTATAATTCAAGAAACCGCAATCCACACAACATATCATTCTAGTTAACTTTCTGGAGCACTTAGCAGTCCAGTAATACGGCTCGGTGAGTTTATTCTCACCTCAAACAGCAAGGAATTCTGTGAAACTGTGTTCAGTAAGTCTGTTGACTTCAACTGCAAGTGCTTCCAAAGATAGAGGCAAACTTCTAACTGCATTCTTAAAGGGCTCATGTCATGCAAAACTGGACTGTTCTCACTTTTTTTTTTTTTAAATAAAAGACTGTAATGTAGTATAAAGACATTGCTAAAGTTTCAAAACCATCCACTCACTAGTCTTTAAGGTCAATATATCGCTGCTGTCGGACCAAAACCTCATATCTCCATTTTTCAGTTTTTGACATAATTTGAAAATGCCTGTGGTCCTTTACATTGTGTGTAAATTTCATGATAAATGGACCAAAAGAAACAAAATTACTTGGAAAAAAGTCTGGTTCCATTAACTTGCATTAAAAGTATAATATGTTTTTTCCTTCTCCTGTAAAGTTACCATTTTGGAGATACAAGGTTTTGGTCTGACAGCCAGCAATATAGAAATTAAGCTGCCTGTTTTGAATTAATTGTTTTTGTGACATCATGAAAAGTAATATATTTGCTTATATTTCCGCCTATTCAGCCTACAGCAGCTTAGCTCCGCCCATTCACAGTGAAGATATATGGAAAGTTTCAGGCGCAATAGAGGACAGCCAATCAGAACACAGATCACTTACATATATCAGTCTTAAAGGCACAGTAACAAAAACAGCCTGTTTAATTCTAAAGGATAAGGAGAGGTTAGAAAATGGTCATATAAAAATGAATTCTAACTGCTTTTAGTACATGAAAGCACCAACAGCATTATAAGTGGACCTCAGAGCTTCTGTTGCTTTTGTGAGACGCATCTCAGTCAATGCATTTACTGCTTTATTTATACTTCTATTTTTTGTTGCAATGAAAACATGACTATAGGAAATGATTAGAGTCAGCTTAAATAATAGCGATCAGCTGAAATAACTGCAGCCAGGCAATTATGTAATAACTGTGACAGGCCTGTAGGTCAGTTTGTAACATGTTAAATCACATACAGCTAAACACTAAATCAACCCGAGCAATCGGGTCACCTCTGTCACACTAGCTGCACACAAAAGTTAAGCAAAGGTTAAACTCTGTGTTATAATTTTTTAATCATAAAAATATTTAACTGTTCCTTGTTGAGATGTTCAAATACTGTTCCATTAAACTCTGGATGTCTGAGAAGCAGAAGTGGTTAAAATACTCATGCCTAGTTCTCAGTCTTGTTCAGCTTGGCAAAAAGCCTGTTCAGAGGAGGCCAAAAACACTCAACTGCTGTTGCTACACCAACACAGAAATCATTACTGGACACATTTGGCTGTTCTGACTCGGTAAACAACAGCGACAGACTAAGCCAAGAAAGGCATAACTTCAGTCAATGATATGACAAAAGAGCATGTTTATTAAAAGAGAGCCTCTCAGGACGCATCTGTCTGCCTGAGCGGCTTTGGCTGCTGCGCACTACTGTAACTATAGAACGGTTTTGAGCAATGATCTCTGTCTTTTCCAGGAATGACTCGCTTTTGGGTAAATGTGCACAGGCATATTCCATCACCCCACACAAACTCTTTCTCTTTCTCTCTCTCTCCCTCTTTCCCTCCTTCTCCCGTCGCTCTCTTTACTCGCTATTGACCGAAGTTAATCTCTACAGTCAAATGGGATGCCCGGCGGTTTCTATAGCAACAGCCACATTCCGAAGGAGGAGCAACGGAGAGAAAGAGGGAGAAGGGACAGAAAGAAAGAAGAGAGATGGAGAGAAATATGGACAGAGAGTGAGACAGAGAGATACACAGAGACACAGAAAAAGAGAGAGAGAGAGAGAGAGAGAGAGAGAGAGAGAAAGAGAGAGAGAGAGGAAACCAGAGAGAAAAAGTAAGCAAAAAAAGTAGAAAGAAATAAAACGAAAACAGAGAGAGAGAAAGAGAGAGAGAGAGACAGAGAGACAGAGAGAGAGAGAGAGAGAGAGACAAAGAAAGAGAGAGGAAAAAAAGGAAGAGAGAGAAACAGAGAAAGTGAGAGAAAGAATAAGAGAAGAGAGATGAGGAGGAATATAAAGACTCAGATAAAAGAGAGAAAGGGGACAGAAAAAGTGCAAGACAGAGAGAGAGATGGAGAGAAACAGAGAGACTTGCACTTTTTTCTCTCTTTTATCTTAGTTTATACTTTATACTCCTCCTCATCTCTCTTCTCTTATTCTTTCTCTCACTTTTATATATATATATATATATATATATATATATATATATTTATATATACACACACATAAAGAGAGAGAGGGTGAAAACGAGAGAGAAAGCATGAGAGAGAGAAACACAGAGAGCGAGACACAGAGAGAGAGAGTGCAGTGGAGAACTTTGAGACTATGTGAATGTGAATATGGGAGAGAAAGTGAGAGAATGAAAGACAGAGTGTTCTGCTGTTCCACTGACTGTCACTCGTCTGTGGAAAAGTACGACACTCCTATTAAAACCACACACGCACACACTCAGACACACGGAGTGAGTAACGTTAGTGGCATCTCCTCAGGTTGGAGTACACTTCACTGCTGCTGCCTCACTATGACAAAGATGACAAGAATCACAGACGAGCAGAGAAAGAAGACAGCTGTGTTAAAAACAACACATCATCTTTAATCCAGTTTAGGTCAGCCTCAATTCTGCACTACTTTCAACACAACCACTTTGTTGCCTTTCAGTCTGGCAAAAATTCTAATTTACTCAGTTTTCCCTTCAGCCCATATAAAGTCAGTCAGCCAGACATGACTTGCTTCTTTAGTTTTTGCACTGGAACTATGAGGCTGACGTAGCCAACGAGTAATGGAAGCTTATAAATGCCAGATTAACAACATTCAACCTTAAATCATCACACATGCTCCAAAATGTGTTGAGTTGTTTAATAATCTCAAAAAGACTTGCTTACAGGAACGCATCAATATAGGATTTCTAATAAAGTGTTGAAACTGGGGAATCAAACTGGATTAGCATTATAGAGAAATGTTACATTCATTTCTATACATTATAAATGCAGTAAAAATTAATAAAATGCAGATTGGCTAAACATTCTGCTCCAGAGTATAGCACACATAATCAAATATTGGTTTGAAATATTGGTCCAATCTAAGCATCTGTCTACAATTTCAAGCAATTATCTTCCCTTACGGATATGAAACCAATATTATCGTGCATTCCTGCTTGCATATGTGGTTTCTGACACTGTATGATGTACTGTTGTCTATAAAACGGGATAAAAGTACAGACAAAGGGTGACACACTTTGGTTCATTTTTATAGATAACAGGCCTGTCATGATACAATCAATAATCATGATTCTTTAACAGGGATCTCTAATGTACAAGACTAAAGTGGCTCCTAACTTTAACTCCAATAAACCCCCTGACCCGTCTCAATAAATGTGGTTTCTGCGTTCTTCTATTTACACGTGCATGCCTCAACGGACGCAAATGCAGCCCATTCACATTCTGTTCGTTGTGACATATACATGTTGCGTACGTAAAGGCAACGACTGTGTGTAAATAACAACTGCAATCAGCTCAAATAACTGCGGTCAGGAGATTATATAATAATGATGATAGGCTTAATAACAGCAGAGGTGGCCAATATAATATGTTATCATTATTGTGATAAATAACCTCACAATATGCACAATTCTAAAGATTATAGAGAGCCTATACAATAATGATAACCAGCGTAATAGTAACTACATAAACTGCACATTAACAGGTATGTTTGATTTTCCTGTTCCTTCTTAAATAGACTATTTCTGCAAGCAAATGATTTTTTAATGTGACACAACTATTCTGCTGCACTTTGTCCACTCCAACTGCACAGAAAAACTAAAGATTGTGATATATATGGCGCATCATGAAAGTGAAGTATCGTGATGCTATATTTTTTGCCATATTGCACATTTTTATGTCATACAGTATCAAAACACAGACAGTGTGTTTCAAATGTCTAAGTCAGAGATATGCTTTGTTCTCATGTCCTGAAAAAAAGCGTGTTAAAACAGCGATAACACAAAAAAATGTGTCGTTATTTAAAAAAAATCTGTGCTGGCTGAGACATTCAGGAAAAAGAGTGTACCAGCCCTCAGACTTTCGCTGGCTGTAGTTAAACCACACGGACTGTCCCTAGAATACTGAGCTCAGTCTGTGAGCTCGGTTACAGCTTTCTCACTCGGGACACGAAGATGTAATTCTGGAACACTGACACAGTGCTGAGATGTTAACTGAACAATGACAAAAACCTTATTTGGACAATTTTCCACATACCTAAAAAAGCCAAAGGTATGTCAGACACATAGCTAAAGACGGTAGTAGCAGCCTGAATCTTGTGCTTTGGTCCATTTTATAGCTAACAGAATGTCATACAGTGTCAGAAATTGCAGAATTGGACCCAATTTTCCCCCCTTAATTTTGTCATGTCCAATGTCCCACCTGCTAGCTAGGTCTCCCCCAATTACAGAACGCTACCAAGCTGGGACGGTGAAGGCTATCACATGCTTTTTGTGAGACACATAAAAAAAGCCATAGCATCGTTTTAAACGGCGATTAAGGCAAAGTTATCGGACAGCTCAACACACCCATGTTGCCCAGTATTGTGTTGAGTGATGGGAAAAAGCCATCACACCCACCCAGAGAAAGCGAGGATAATTTTCTTTATCAAAGTTGGGAACCACCATCAAATAGAAGCAGACAATCATGTAAACAATCACATGAAACATGTGAACTGCTTGCTTGGAGGCTACGGAAAAGGCAAATCCTTCAGGCAGTCAGATGGCCACGGCTGTGGAAAGCATTTTTAGTTGAAAACTTGCCAAAAATTAACTAAAGGTATCAACAGAATGTGAAGAAAGAAGTTTTGATGTTATGTCAAAGACACCAATGTACTGTGTTGCAGAGATATCCACTGAAGTTAGCATGCTGATCAGCTCGTCTAAGGCCCGCCATGTCTTGTAATACCACTTTGTACCTCAAAAGGTGACAGTGAGTCACTGTAGCATCGAGTCTGCCATCAGTCCAACATGAGAGGTTGAAGAAGTAGAATGCCCGCTCCCAGCAAGAAACTGCAGAGAATAAGTGACTTAAGTAAAGGGAGTAAAGGGAAGAAGTTTGATGCTAAAGTCGCAACACTTCTTCTAGACTGGTAAGTAAGAGGGAGGAGGAGGTACTGTTTATTGTTTATTTAAGAAGGGTGAACATGTCAAAATAAAGCTGAGTTTAGGCAGTTGGATGGTCGCGCTACTTGGGAGCAATGCAGTTTGAGTCAAGTAAGTGATGATTTAATCCGTAGTTAGCAAGACGCTAATTAGCAAGGTAAAACTTCTATTACTTGTTCGCTACATTAGCGTTAAAGTAAAGAAGGCACGTCTTGGCTGACTGAGTACATCTGGAGTAAAGAGATGGTCATTTGTGTTTGATTTTTTTGCCAAATTATTCCTTTAAAGGCTGTAATACAATTGTAACTAATGACAGACAATAAACAGCAAACACTGTATGATATCACGACAACATATTTGTAATGAAGTAATCTTAAATGGAGCAGTGTGTTTACAATCACTTTAATCTGCTATTTTCTCTTCAGACCCCTTGACATCATTGCTTAGCTTATGGCAGACATCTGGACAAGCTCACTTCATGTCTTAGATAAGCTGAATCCAGTGGACAGAAAGGCGAGTGAATCAGTGTGATTCTCAAGCAGACCATTGGACGATTGGACACTGGCACGGCATTTCACTAGACTACACTTTTGGTATTTAGTTCATGATATCAGTTTAGATTTTATGAGATAGAATTAACCTTCAGAAGTCACATTTATTGTTAAATGTAATTTTGTATGATATATTTCTTGTAGCTCATTGAAACAAGAGGAGAAATTCTGTTGAACATGCAGATTGTTTCAATCTACACCACATTTGTGTTTGTCAGTAAAAGAGCAGTTTTTATTATAATTTGAATTTGAGGAAAAGCTACTGTCTGCACTTCTCTTGTTTGATGGAAAGGAAACACATACTTTAAATTTTTGCCATGTTTTTTTTGGCATTTTCCAAAATCAAAGCGTTAAAAAAGTCGGACAATAAAATTTCAACATAACATGTTGTAACATAAGCTGAATGTGCTGCAAAACCACAGTAATAATTGGTGAGAAGTAAAATGGGTGAAAAGTAGAGAGAGAGAAAGAGACAAAAAGTGGAGAGACAGATTGAGAGAGAGGCAGAGAAAGAGAGAGACAGTGAGAGAGAGAGAATAAGAAAGAGACAGAGAGATGGACGTAGTGAAAGCTGATAAAGTTCTAATATCAGGCTGCATTGCTGCACAGCTGTCGGACGCTGAGTCTCTCTACTGTTTACAAACATGATCCAGCCTCCTCACTGGCCGTCTCTCTGGCAAGCAGCCAAACAGGCGGCATTCAGAGTTGCCCTTGGCTACAAATCCGCCAGTGAGAAGCAGATCCTGGCCTAAAGATCCCCAGATGTGCTGCAGACCTCCATCACAACGGCTTACATGCTCACTCTGTTTTTCTGCCGCTCACACTTGAACGGATGAGCGTAGCCTAGATCAGTACTCTAGTGATATCACTGATACGTGGATACAACACTGACACAAGCAGAAGTAAAAGCACCTTCCCAAAAATAACTTACATAGAAGTACAAAAGTGTCAGGTCAAAAAGCTACTGAGTAACTTGGGGAGCTCCAGTGGAACTTCTTAGTAAATCCAGCGTCACTCAGCGTAGGACCTGAAACTTGTTACGCTCTATTCTTCTCTTTTTGGGTTTTTCTTTAGCCTGAAATAAAATGCTAAAGCTGCAAGGAGTCAGATGTGACCAATCACAAAGCAGTACAGATGTTATCACCAATGAAACACATTGCGATTAAACACAAAAAAGGTATTAGTAACTAAATATGAACTGCAAAAATGTAACTGATTGGACACCCCTGCTTCAGTAGATAGTGGTGTAGGCTACAACCCAACCAGCTAGATACGTTAAATCTCATCATTTCTCACTGGATTGAACAGGATTTTTGCCAAAGCTCTCTAAAGCTTGTCATAACGGTTACTACGGAGGAACGCAATTGTGGAGCATGGATAGGTCAATTGCTGACATTGTTGGACAGCGTAAAGGCCTATTCACACCTTCCGATTTTTAAAAAAAACAAAAATGCATGTCAGGTTTTATGGATGGATGTGGATCAGACTGACTAAATACAGCTACACTGCCATGGTTGCAGTTTTAATAAAAGTCTGTTTATTCCCAGTCTTTTTGTGGACTGAGGTGTACCCAGTATAAGCCTTCTAATTGCAGTGCTTAAAGAAAAAAATGATAAATTCATCATCGCTACTTTGCAAATTTTTCTTCCTCTTCCATCTTCTTCCTGTTTTCCCAGAGCATTAAAAATAAGACCATTAGATTTGGGGTGACGGTTCCACTATGCGAAATATTGCATCTGTTTTTCCATATGAAAAAATTGTACTTGTTGTGAAAAGCCTTAACTCTGATGCTCTGCTTACATTATGACAGCAGTGTACGACAAAACTTTTGCCTTTAGCTGCAGCAGGGTATAAACTGAAAGTAGATTTTTTGCACTGGACGCTTTTAGTTGAGGTCTGCACGTATGCATTCACGTACAATATCAACAAGAACACATCATTAGAAACATTAGCATGCAATCGAAACACTTTTGGGATAAAATAGCGTTTAATATAATCACCTCGCATACCGGTTGGAACCCCACTGTTATTCCAGTAATACTATCCCCACAATGCTGTTTACATGGCTGCATGTCGGTGTAGGATGCTAATTACAACACCTCTGCTGTGATGCACAGAATAAGATGTAAACGCAACAAAACATTCAAGATTCTTTGTTGAAGACTTTTTTTGTCACACAACTACACTGGCTGTATTTGGATTCTGCATAGCTTCAGGTCCAAAGTAAACAATACACAATATGCTAAACACACTGATAGCTCTGCAAAAGCAGATTTCGCAAACATTCTCCTCCACTTTCCTCCAGAAACACAGCCCACCCTTGTCTTACCGCGGTATGTCTTTGTGCAGAGGTCCTGATCGTCCCCGTACAGTCTCCACTGCAGGTTGTCGGGTGGGCGTCTGACAGGCAGGGTAACTGTGGCCGAGCCGTTGCGGTCAGTAGCTGGTGGTTTGGGATTGGGCAGGTGCGTATTGAGGGACTCCAGGAACTTGCTGCAGCTCCAGGACCAGCGTACCCGGGGGGGCTCCCAGTCACAGCGGAACATGCCCAGCGGAGAGCGGTCGGCCAGTCCGCTCAAGTTGCCCACGGTAATGCCCAGGCAGAGGGAGGATCCGAGGTTGAAGAGGCGGTTCCTGGTCACCCACTTCCACAGCTGAGCATCTTCATTGCAGGATGAGGAGAGGTAAAGACTGTGATCCCGAACACCCAAACAGCCCTGAGCACCCTCATGGTAAAAGGCAAAAGTGTCCGACTCAGTCGACTTAGCAGTGTGTGCTAAAAGAGAGACAGAGAAGAAGGGGAGATGAGAAAGAGAGTTTATTTTTATTAATGTATTTTCCTCTGTAATCATTATTAACATTAACCATGTCATTTTTTTATTGTGTGTAAATGCAATTTTTTTGTCATGCCAGCTGTACAAAACAATTCAATATCAAAAAGCTGCCGTTGTGCCGTCCATTTTATCTAAGTACAACCAGAGAACTGGACAGAACTGTGAACTGTTTTCACAGCAGGGGGTTCTAAATCCCCCGCTTTCATCCATCATTGCTCACCAGCAGCTCGACATAGTGTCCCGAGCGACAAGATTAATTGGTTTCATATCAAACTTGCAATTTGAAAGAATGAAATTTTCAAATCACAAGAGCTGCAGGTCTAAATGATCACCTGCATGTCTTAAAAGTTTAAAGTGGGAAGATTTTTGCACATTTTTTTGGGCGACTGAAATACTGGGATTACACACTAAACGATTAGGGATCACACACTGCTTAACTTTTCAGCTGCTGCTAAACCGAACCGAACTCACTGAACTCGAGCGAACTCTCGCGTTCTTCCGTTACTAGGTTCCGTTACTGATTTAAAAATGTGATCAGTGTGGTATTTTTTAGAGTTTTAAATGTTCATTAACTCGATTGTGCTCATGCCTTAAACTCCACTCATTAGAAAGCTTCTCTCCACACGTGAGTGACTTCTTGCCATTTTTCTTTATTTACTTGCTGTATTTTCTTCTTTTGTGCTCCCTGTTTTCATTGGCTGTTGCAGGAATCTGTTCAGATTGAGTGTTGACCAATTTACACTACTAGATTACGCTCAGAGTCCAGTCGGAAAAATCAAATGCAATCGGGAGGCACAAAATCTGAGTCTGCGCCGCTCACACACTGCTTGATTCTCTCTCCAACTGTCCACTCCGACTGACCCAAAAATCTGCAGACTTGAGCCAACGAGCACAGACTAAGAATCAGGGCTAAAATCATGGAAAAAGTTGTGTAGTGTAACCTCGGCTTCAGCTGACAATACAAAGCTTGTGAACCACTTGTGGATGAGTCAAACCAATCAGTAGCAACAAACACAAACTAACTGGCAGTCAGCTACACTATGCTTAGTGTTCAAGCCCTGGGCCAGAAAAAGTAGATGAAAGCGGGTATTGAAAAAAGGGGTCACTTTTTAAATCTCAATCCCAAAACATTCAATTAGATATCTTGCCCAAATCATTCAGCCCTAACAGAGCCAGAACATTCATACACTGAGAGTCACAACACTTTATAAACAGAGAATCAACAGTGGCCTAGTTAATCTGACAACACAGACAAGGGGAAAATTTTATTTGATTAAATTAATTACAAAAACCCAGTTGATTTAGATTCCACCAGCGAAAAATGTCACTAGGGGGCAAAAACTACTCATAAATTTAGGCCTGCGAAGCCTTTTAAATCTGAATAGGAGCAAGAGAGATAAAGAGAAAGAGAACGTGAGGGAGTGAGAGAGGGAGAGATGGAGATACGCACAGAAAGAAAATGAGAGAGAGAGATTTCATAAAGAGAGATAGAGACAAAAAGAGAGACACGGAAAGAGAGAATGAGACGACGAAAGGACGAGAGTGGTGAGAGGGAAAAGGACATGAGACACAGAAAAAGTAAGAGAGAGAGAAAGAGAAAAAAGAGATGGACTGAGTGAAAGGACAAAGCGAGAATGCAGTTACTAGCGCAATACTAGAAAACCGATAGAGAACCGTTATCTGAACGCTGTTAATGTGGAAAAGGGAAAACAATCAATATCCATAACAGATACAGGCCCTAGTGTCCTCTGTGGCTTACGATCAAAACCAGAAACACTAGGAAATCAATAGCGCACTGTATGATTAATAGCATTTACTTATCTGTATTAGAAAGTGCTGCTCAGCTCATCCCAACACACTGAGAGTGAACAGACAAGCCTTAACTCGCCCCAATTCACACTAAAGGTTCCTTTAGTTATGGACCTAATAGTGGACTCACTCTCCCAGAAGTGAAAAGTGTTTCCACATGGCCGATTCAACACCTTGATTTCCTGGTGGTCATTTTTGTGTGTGTGTGTGTGTGTGTGTGTGTGTGAGCGAGCTGTTAATAAAAGCTGCCGAGCTGTGACCTGACATGGCCTTCTCTCCCCCAACAGTGGAAGATTTTGTGGTGAATGTTCAGCAAAGTTGTTGGACGCTATTCACACAGCGCTTCTCAGACTGAATCTACACTCTATTACTTGATGGTTTGGCTTTGCAGCCCATCGTAATTCAAACTGCAAAACACATTAAATACATAACAGAGTTCTAAAATCCAACAACCAGCCTAAGAAAAACGCTTTGGGAAATTAGAAGCTCTGTAGCTTTTGCAATGCACATGAAAGCGTACGTCTACAATAAACCAACAGCAATTTTCACTCGCTTTGGGGACGTTTTTGAGCAGCAGCAGCTTAAATGAAGGAGGGACCTGGAGGCCGAGAGTAAACTGAGCTCTGAAAGAACCTTTATTTAACAACATGGAATATACAGAGACCAAGAACTGAGGAGGTGAAGGAAGACAGAAAACAGGGAAAAGAGGGGATCTGGAGCTTGACTGAGGTCACAGGGCTGGAAGGGTAGAGAGAGAGAAAAAAAGAGAGAAAAAGAGGGAGACAGAAAGAAAGAGAGACAAAATTAGAGACAAAATGAGAGAGAGAGAGAGACAAAGAAAGAGAGGCAAAATGAGAGACAAAGAAAGACAAAATTAGAGAGAAAGCCAGAAAGAAAGAGACAAAATGAGAGTGAGACAAAATGAGAGAGAGACACACACAAAGAAAGAGAGACAAAATGACAGTGAGAGACGGAAAGAAAGAGAGACAAAATGACAAAGAGAGCAAGACAGAGAGAGAAATACAGACAAAATGACAGAGACAGAGAGACAAAAAGAGAGAAAGAAAGCCAGAACAAAAGAGAGTGAATAAGAGTGAGACAGAAAGAAAGAAAGAGATAGAAAGAGAGAGAGAGAAAGGGAAAGACAAAGAGAATGACAAAGATCAAAACAGAGAAAGCAAGAGACAGAGATGAAGCCAGAATGAGAGAGAGAGACAGAATGACAAAAAAATAGATCAGAAAAAGAGTAAGAGAGAGAAACAAAGGTATAGAGAGAAGGAGAGACAGAATGACAGTGGAAGACAGAGAGAAAGAGAAAGAATGACTAAAGGAGAGATAAAGAGAAAGACAGAAAGTAAGTGATTAAAAAGATTAAATTAAAAAGAAAACAAGACCGAACAAGAGCAAGAGGAAGAGAAAGGAAGGAGAGAGGAGAAACAGGAATGAAAGAATAGAGACAGAATGAGAGAGAAAGAGAGAGAGAATGAGAGACAGAGAAAGATAAAATGAGAGAGATGAGTGAAAGAGAAAGAAAGAAAGAGACTCAAAGAGTGCCAAAACCAACAGCCTTCCCAAAAGCATGGTTTCCTCTCATCCCTCTCTCTTTCCTTCTCTTGGAGTGGGAGGTGTGTGTGAAGTTACAACCACAGATCCACTGAGAGAGAGAAAGGGTGAGAAAAAGAACGAGTACCAGAGCGCAAGAACAAATGCAGACAAGTGTAAATGAGTGCAGAAAATGATGGTGAATGAAGAAAAGAATGAAAGAGAAAAAGGCTAAATATAACGAGAGAGAAAGATTACTTAAAAATAACTTAATTTCTAATGTTCTACTGTAATCTATAATATTACCTTTCTCTTATTTATGTTTATGTGTTTCTTGTTAACTGCTTTGGCAATAGTGTATTTTACTACCACGACAATAAAGCACTGTTGAACTGAACTGAACTGAACGAGAGAGACAGTAAGAGAGAGAGAGAGAGAGAGAGAGAGAGAGAGAGAGAGAGAGAGCAGGAACAACACAGCTGTGATTTCAAACTGTGGCAAGGATAAAAAAGAGAAAAAAAAAAGAAGTTTGTGATGAAAGTGGTGGGCAGAGAGGGGAGCACCAACCCAAAACCAAACACAGGCTCTCCTTACTGACCTCAAGCCTAAAGAAAGAAAATAAGTGAGGAGGTAAAGATGAATAAACAGTGGACAGTGAACCGCTGTAAACCTACGACAAACTCCCGGAAGGAAAATGTGTTTTACAGTAACTGCAGTCTATAAATACCACTCACACACAAACAAACACACAAACAAAGCTGTTAACTCCTTAAACTGCAGGCCTTAAACTAAGAAATTAAGACTTATTATTCAGGAACTACTTCATTATTTGGTAACTACTAATTACTACTAACTACTAGAGCTGCATGGCATGAACAGTGCATTAGTATTAGGATCACACTGCCACATATTGTGACTACAACAGAGCTTTCATTGGTGAAATGTGACATGGTTAAATAACGGGATGCTTTAACTTTTGCTGGACTGCACAAACACCTTGATTCATCATGAGACCGACAGAAAATGCTGTGACTGGTCAGGATGCTCACAGCACACAGTACAAAACACTGTGATTGGCTCCCCAGTTACAGTGTCTAAACATTAGCCCTGGTGATGCCACAGCCACCCGTGACCAGGATTCTGGGTGTGTAGGACTGTGAAATGGGGGGTGACCCAGCTAGTGGGTGAGAATCGGCTATGACAAACTTGGGGAGAAAAACTGGGTTAAACACCCCCACCCACCCACAAAGAAAGTGTGATTGGTTAGCAGCCTCATTTCCATATTTCCATGCTTCATCTTTCTACAATATCAAATATCAAGACAAAGCAACAGTAGTAGGGATGTGCGTGGGTACTTGGTCAACCGCTTTCAATCCCAGGCTTATCTACACAGACTACAATGCATATTCGCTGAGCTGTTCTTAGGTTATAGAAGCGTGTAGTAAAACTTTAGGCCTAAAGGGTTAAGCCTATAGCCCTCCCTTAATGTTTTGTTGTTTTCTTCTTTCCCATGGTTAACCAGATATCCATTCAAAAACCCTTTCAGATACTCAAATATTAAAATTATGATCTCTAATAACAACCTGAAACA